AAATTTAAATAAAACTTAAAAGAATATATCGTTGTGCTGCAATGAAAAACAAAGTTTTGATCAGGTTTGCATTCTTCTTCTTGTACAAAAAAGAACAAAAAAAACATATATCAAATATTAAATTTTTGCTATAGAATGAAGATTTATAAAATTAAAAAAAAAAAAAAAAAAGATAAACAACAATTTATTTCTTTTTATTTATGTATAGATATATATGTACTTTACTTAATACACATTAATCTAATGAAAAATAAATTTTCCTTTAAACTGTTCGCAAGCAGCTTTTAGGAGAATCAAACGATTTCGTAAGTGTGCAACGAAAAATATTTGAGTAGACGATACAACATTTTGTCCACCCTTTTTATTACACATATTCTATTTTTATCTCTTTTTTTTTTTTTTGTTTGTTTGTTTGCAATTAGACATAGATATTATAGTCTTACATATCTATCTATATATATATAGAATTTTGATTTATCATTCGTCATGAATAATATCTCCTTTTATATTAGAAATGCATACACATGTATTAAATATAATAATCGATACAAATATTCATTTTAAATTTTTAGACCATAATTTTTACATCGTTAACAAAATGTAAAACAGTGTAGGGCCTGCCACAATATAAACGGAAACACATATTTTGAGTTAGATGATTAATTATTATCATCATCATCATCATCATCATTTATTATTATTATTTGTATTAAATTTATTTTTCTTTTTTTTTTTTTAATCACATGCATTCGCAATAGCACATACAAATATATATATTTAATCTTCGTTGTCGTGTCGTTTACAATTTCTATTTGATTTTTGAATTGACACCTCTTTTCTTTTCTTTTTTTTTTATTTTACATTCTAGCTAAGAGAATGTTAATAACACACATGGAACGCGTTCGCTTGTCAAATAAAATTTCACGAGCTTGGCTCGTTATTTACTGACATTAAAAATGTTTTTTTTTTTTTTTTACGTGTTTAAGTGAAAGCACAACGCCATTATATACTTGTATATTGCATATGTACACATTTTCACGTTGATATTTTTATTAACACCGTGTCCGAGCAATTATTTTCTTTTTTTTCGGTCGACTCGTTAAAACACACCTGGTCTCGTTGAAAAATCATTTCAAAGAGAATAGCTAAAACAATTTCTAACATTTTCCATAGAGAGATAATATCTTCATCATACTTCTCTACAAATATTTCTATCCTCGCTATTTTCATTTCAATAATCAAATCACATTTTGTTGCTTATTTCGCATTCACCCGCTTATCTTATTGTTAGTATAAATACACTAAAAAAACAAAATCTAGTATTACATGTTGTTACATTAATCTTATTATTTTCTTTTTGTTTCTCGTTAAAAATCTTTTCGGACAGACGAGTAAGTTAAGATGACAAAGATAAAATCAATAGATTACACGACCGATGATTATAAAATTGAATAATATTTTCTAAATAGTACAATAAATATGATTCATTGTTTTTTGTATTCTTATCATAACTGTAATATAACTCCTATAGCCAGACAAAGGAGTATAAATTAAAATCATTATCGTTTTTTCAAACGCGTATAAACATTTGTAATATTAAAAAGTGTAATATAAGATCAGGTGTTTAAATTTGATATGTGAAAATTGTGATAACATATATAATCTCATCTTATTCCATTTAAAATATAAATTTACATATTCTTTTGTATTGTTTATATAAAAATATGTCTATTAATATGTAATATATTATAAATAATTGTATTATTTTTTTTTACTCGTTTGTACGGAAACAAAAAAACACACACACACAACAAACTATCGCATTCATAAAACACTAACGTATGGGGGATGCGATTGTTTCTCTGTCTCTGTGTTTTGTGATGACGTTGTCGATGATGCATGGTATCGGTGATGGTGAATTTCTGGTACGTGTCCTATTGCTTAACGTGCGGCAACGGATGATATCTCTCGCTCGCTCTATCTGAAAACTTGGCGTGTTCCGTTCCTGTTATCCTGTCGAAAATCCTGGCAGGAGGAGCGTCCTGCATGCCACGCAATCCGGTCACCGGAGACGGAGTCGACGTGACGCCATTGAGGCGCACACGAAGGTGTAGAGGTAACCTTTACATTTGCCAATATTATTTCCTCCCACCATCAATATTATTATTATTATACTTATCATCATCATCATCATCGTATTCCTTTTTCCCCGTTCATAAATTTTGCCCATTCTTTTTTTATCCTTGTCCGCACCTTCATAATACGTCTTGTTGCACTCCGTTCGCGAATTTGCTGCCATTTTGATTGACTTCCGCCATTTTGATTGACTCCAGCTTATTTCGTAGTAGACGGTAATTAAAAAAGTAAGTTTTATAGTAAAGAAAAATCGCGGTAAATAGTATTTTACCTTTTTTTTGTTTTCTTGTAATGTGGTTTAATTAAAAAAAAAAAAACAATGAGAGTTTTAATGTAATAATTAAGAATAAATTAATTGCGTGAACAATTTGGTGTGACGTAGAATATGAGAAAAACGTAACGCGGATATGTATATTCGCTTTTAATTTTTTGTCTTTGTTTTTTTTTCTATGTACCGAGTGTGTTGCTTCATACTTTTTAACTCTCTCTCTCTATCTATCTCTTTTCAACTCTTAATTTTCTGTTTTTTTGGTTTTTTTTTTCTTTATATATATATACCCTTTTATTGTCATGAAGTAAAATGATTGAATTATTTACCTCGTGTGACCATTAATCTCATTATACCCTAAACGTTATATTATAATATATATAAACGTTCTCTTTTCTTTTTTAAAGATTCCAAACGATCCGAATAGGAAGCTTCCGTATGCAGAAATATATAATAAAGCGCGAATCCACGTCGCGCAATTTTGAAATATTAGAAAAATCTATAGGAATATATTTATATATACAAAAGTTGAAAAGAAAATGTCACAAAAATTCTATTTATAGATGGTAATCCAGTAACTGGAACCGGGTATACGTCTGAGACGCAGAATGGAGGATCAGCGATGCAGAATGGAACAGGTAGCTCAAGTTCCAGCATAGGTGAGAAATCGAATGGTTCGTCGCCAACAGGAAAACCAGCAGGAACGCGTACCCGTGTCCCACCTGGTGGATATTCATCTGGGCTTTGGTAAAAAGGGTTGTTGGATCCCATCATCTTTCCAACAGCAGCAACGGAAACAGCAGCAGCACCACCACCATCAAAAACAACAACAACAACATAACATCCCTTTCCATCCTAGAGAATGAACTAAAAGACAAAATTTGGCGTGTCAATGATTGAAGAAAGGAAGAAAGAGAAGAATAAAATTATGATAATATAAAAAAACAAAAAACAAAAAAATAACAACCAACAACAAAATAATAACAAATACAAGGCTCTACTACCATCTCTTATTTCGACTCTTGTCGTAAAGTTCTATTCTGTATCGTGAAAATAATGATGAAAGAAAAATAGACACACAAGCATTTTGTAACAACTCTCTACAAATTTGCAGGGCAAACTATAAAAAGGATAAAAAGTCAAGAAAAAGAAAAAAAGAAAAAAAAAACAACACTAGCCATCCAAAATTAATTAGACGTTTTTCTTTCTATTTTCTTTTTGGAAAAACTTGCATAATCTAGCTGGTCGTCGAGTCAAAAGGAAGAGAAAAAAAAAACCAATAATAATAATAGTAATTAAAAAAAAAAAAAAAAAAAAAAAAGTAATACTGTTCATTGATCGTTCAATTCATTTAATATTATTCTCGGCTTATAGTTTCATAACATGGAAATAATAAACTTAATCGTAAATTGCTACTATACATTATATACATAAATATATATATAAATATATATATAGTACACTTTGATAAATCCATCGGACGAGAAAAAACGAAAATTTTGTTGATCATCCCTCTTCATCTTGTCTCTATCTATCTTCCTCTTATTTTTCTCTCGTTTTTCCTAAAACTTAGATTTTCCAAGAGAAGCAGAACCAAAAACCCAATTTCCTATTTGTTATCATCGTCATCATCATTTTCTTCTTCTTCTTCTTCTTCTTCCTCCTCCTCCTCCTCCTTCGTAATTCTCGTCTAATAATTACATTTCGGCCTTAAAGATAAAATAAAATAAAAAACAAAAAAAAAAAAGTGACGAAAAATCGCAAGGCCTGTTGCCCGCCCCCTTTTAATCATCCCTCTCGTCGCGATCATTTATTAGAATTTAATCCTGACTTAATCGAGACTTAAACTAATAGAATAAATCATTTCTAGTACAGTGGTTTAATCGATATTCTCGATTGTAATGATCAAAAGTAATGAATTAATAAATAAATAAATAAATAAATGAAAATTAATTAATTAATTAGATCGCACACAGGCGTGGACGCGAAGAGGGCATATAGAAATTTAAAAAAAAAAATTAATTAATAAAAGAAAAAAAAGAAAATATCCCGCGCCCCCCTCCTCCCTCTCCCCACTTTCCCAAGAAAAAAAAAAAAAAACCATACGAAATCAACTTATAATCTTCTCCTAAGTATAATTAAAAGAAAAAAAGAAAAAAATAATAAAATGATAATAAAAAAAAAATTTAAAAAAAGGAAAAAGCTTAAAAAAAAAGAAAAGAATTAATCAAAGAGGAAAAAAAAGTCGCAGTCGTCGCGGATTCTCTCCCCCCTTACCCCATTGTTTTTTTTTTTTTTTTCTTCAAGAGAACTGTGTACTAGAATTAGTCATGTGATAATATCTAAAATAAAAGTACATGATGCGTTAAACCCATTAAACCGCTATATAGTGCGTTATTAATCTCCGTGCCTTCTTAATTGTAAACTTTTTTGTGGTGCATGGAAGATAATGGTACATGCAAAAATTAGACAAAAGGGCCGATCACATCTCTTATAATTATTATTAATCGGTCTATGATATATAAATATATTATATCCAATGAGTTTGCATGTTATATATTGACGAACTTTTCAATTGAAATGAAGTATACGTAAAAACGATATCAATTCTTGTACGTATTTGATTATTTATATATGTAACAGAATGCTATTATTAATATTATTATTATTATTAATATTATTACTTACTTACTATTATTATTATTATTATTATTATTATTGCTACTACTACTATTTACTATTATTACTATTATTATAATTACTATGATTATATTATTTGTCTTTTTTACCGCAATCGATTTCCTCTAATTCAGGGCACGCATTTAGAATTTAATATGTGAGTATATTTACGAATAGAGGGAATATTTTACCCGTCGTTAAAATCATGTATCGCATATTCCTTATCTGCTTTTTATAATATATATCCTCACATATTCGTATTGGGATATATATATAGCGGATTATTATTACTATTTACAAATATTTCTTCTATTCTGTTATACTTTTAAGCTTTATCTTTATCTATTTTTTTTTCTTCTTCTTCTTCTTATTTCTCTATTCCTATCTCTCTTCATCTAGTTTTTCTTTTTTTACAATTATTATTTTTCACAGCAATATTTACACACCACAAACACACATACACACACGTGTATCGTTTCTTCTCTTCCTTCTATTCACCAAGTTTTTTCTTTTTTTTTTTTAATGCAATCGTTTGGTGTGAGCAAAGTTATATCATTTGTAATGCATCGTAATTAGTCATGAAGAAAAGCCTTTTTGTATTCTGGCATTGATTAATAAAGTTTTGTAAGCAATAATTATCTCTTTGCAAGTGATTCTTATTGTTAAAACATTTTTCGTGTATTTAGTCAGTTTTCATGGTGTGTTTTAAATTATCTTGCTCTGTCGCGGGGTTTATTACTTTACAATCAAAAATCTCTGCCAACAAAACTGCGTTTTAATGTTGGACAATTTTTTATTTAATAATTATTCGTACAGTTTGTCGAAAACGCCTGGAAAACTAGGCAAACCCATTTATACATTTATTTTATATAAAAAAATCCCTGAAAGTATATAATCATTTGTATATACATGACATTAAAAAAAAAAAGCTCCTGTGTAGCATGATACATAATTTGGTACCAAAAATTTTTATTAAGTAAAAAAAATATAGCATATAACATAAATACGGTTACAATTAATTTATTTTTATGCAAAATGTTTTAAAAAAAGACGAAAAAAATTTCAAATCGTAAACAAAATATTAATAACATAGTATAATAAGGTACGAGAAGTTATAAAGTAATGCAAATAATGAGTAAAAAAATTAACATATACGCGACAAAAAAGAATTATAAATAAATTCAAAGTTACGTATACTTGTACTTGTACTTGTATATCACATTACAACATAACGATATTGGTAACGGACAAATATTACTAAATTTATTTCTCGTTCAAAATTCTTTTTACCCGATATACATTATACATATATCTAATATCTTTTTTTAATCATTTAATAACTCATTCTTCGTGTTTTGTTTTTTTTTTTTTTAAATACTTGCAATAAGAGTTCTTATCTCAGACTCATTAGCTTTACAGAGACTAATGAAGAGGTGTTTGTTAATAGTTTCCTGTTCCATTTTTTTAGCAATTTCACGTGATCTGTTTGTAATAGCAAGTGGAATACCAGCCAATCTTGCTGCATTGAATCCATAAGACTTAGGACAAGCACCTTCGCTGAGTTTATATAAAAATGTAACAGTTTCTTGAGATACTTCTTCCTCTTCTTCAGTTTCTACCATACATGCCTAGAAAAATAATAAAATAACAATTTTACAAATAATACTTTGTCTACGTTTTAAATTTCTATAATAAATCGAATAGGAATTGAATTATTTACCATGTGTACTAATGTTACGTCTGGATTGTTTTTGTAATCTTCTACCAATGAGTGGTAATGCGTTGAAAATAATGTACGACATTTTAACTTCGTCAGTTCGTTAACAACTGACGCAGCTATTGCTGTACCATCATACGTCGAAGTACCACGACCTATAAAATAATTAATATTTTTTTATTTTTTAAATCACAATGTATCAAATAAATGATCGATTAATCTTACCTAATTCGTCTAGCAAAACTAAAGAGTAAGGTGTGGCGTGTTTTAATATTGCAGAAGTTTCTGTTAATTCTACCAGGAATGTACTCTGGCCAGCTAGAATGTCATCGTTTGCTCCTAATCTTGTAAAAATACGATCCACCAATGTTAGATTACATGAACTTGCTGGTACGTGACAACCCTAAAAGATTAAAAACAAAATTAATTGTACAATTTTATTGATAGTTCATTATATATATATAAAAAAGCGTTTGTTCTTAAAATATTAAATTGATACAAGACTTACTATTTGTGCCATGATCGTTAACAATCCTATTTGACGCATCAGAGTCGATTTACCACCCATATTTGGACCGGTTAAAATAATTACCGAAGCTGTCTGATCTTTAGCAATTGAAGTATCATTGGGAATAAAGTTATCTGACAATATACACGGATGCTTTCCATCTTTGATATCGATGAAGATCTGTTCGTACATCACATTTACAAATATAAATAGATTTCTTGTTTAAAGTTTATGTTGTTATATTTTGATACGATATCTTCTACTTACTTCACCATTGTTCGCATCATGAATTTCTGGAATGCACATATCACCGCTATGAGCATATTCGGCAAGAGATATGAGAACATCTAAAATGGCTATTTTATGAATAGCCATATGCCACATATCATACTTCTCGCTAAACTTGGCGAATATTCGTCTGTTCAGATCCTTCAAAACTTTGTCTCTAGTTTCTTCGGCGCTCGTTTGTCTTGCTAAAAGTTCCTAAAAAAAAAAAAAAATATTCAGTGGTCAATTTCCTCTACTTTATTCGCTTATGCTTTTATTTAAAGTTTTTATTAATTTAAAACTAATGATAGAAAAATAAAAACTTACTTTTGCTTCCGCGGTATAGTAACGCTTGAAGCCTTTACGTTGGGATGTTAATTCGTATCCCGATCCTACTTTTTTTATTTGAGAATCTGGAACTTCAAGCTGAAATCTTTTTCTGTCGTGACCGAAGAATGTTACCTTAACGCCAAAATGTTTTCTTTGCTTTGCTAAGTAAGCATCTAAATCTTCCTTTATTTCTTCCAACTGAGATAACACTGAGTCATATTCGTCATCCACTCCTTTTTTAGGAACGATACATCCTTGTTTCTTTGCTTCCTCGTGATCGAATGCTGTCTGCACATAAAATATTTTATTTGGTCGCCGTGGTGTTTAAAAGAAAACAAAAATAAAAGATGTTGAAATATTTATCGTATAATTGAATTACTTTAAAATAATCGAGCGTCTCTCTCAAATGAGGAAATTCTCCTTCCGGCTCAAATTTGGTACAACGACTTATCAAATTAGTTTTGAAATCTGACAAAAAGAAAAGAAAAAGATAGTATTACCAAAAAAGAATGAATATTTAGTATCGATTCAATACTTTAAACTTGAATACATACCAGAACACAAATCAATAATCTCCAATACTTTCTCAAATCCATTTAAAGCTGTAGTAAAATCCATGATCTTTCTTTTCGAGTACGTCTGACCCTCGAACATTATTGCTCTTCCTTCAGGATGATTCCATAATTTAGCTTTATTTCCTAATGCATGTATTCTAAAAATACATATATATATAAATTCAATAAAAATAATATCGCTAATAATGTTTGATAGATTTTAATAAAATATTTAATATCTCACTTGCTTAATAATCTTTCTAAATCTGGAAGATTCGACAACACAGATCGAATAGACTGCACTACATTCACTTTTCCCATTAATTCTTGTATAGCCTCTTGACGCTCTTTTATAATATTTTTACGGCAAGATGGTCTGCATATCCATTCTCGTAATAACCTGCATTATTAAATTCAATGTAAATCAAACAAGGTAATAATAGATATTATAATTTTACCTTTTACCAAATGCAGTTGCACAATAATCCAATGTTTTCATAAGAGAACCTTCTCCAAAAATTCGTAGATTGTTGATTGTAATGGCGTCCAACACCTGATCAAAATTAATTTGTGAATAAAATAAAAAAACAAATAAGTTTGATATATGTAAATGGTATCTTAACAAAATACGTACCATATTATTCATAAGTTTTGTTTCTGTACGTTCATTGTCATTGAAAAAATCAGGTGGTATATATGTCTTAAATTGTGCCTGTGCCAATAATTGTTGATCGAGTAAATACTCTTTAAGTAAATATATGCATCCTCCAAGAGCACGTACTGCTAATTCTGTATCTTCAGCAGGAGTTAAACCCAAACTATCTCCTATAAATTCATATTATGAGAACACACGTTCGTAGAAATATTTTTTAATATAAATTGTACATACATACCTTCACTTAAATAAGGTTGTAAACCTTCAGGCCAAACAAAACTTGAATCTTTCTCTTTTTTAAAATATTCTCCTTCGTGAAGATACTTCAATTAAAAAATACATATTACTTAATGCATCGTCAATTTGATTAACAGAAAAAGAAGCAAATATAATGTTATTAATCTTACTTTCAACGTGTTTGCTGCAGTCCAAAATTCTACATCGCGTTGTAGAGATTCCTTGTAGGCAACTGCCATTGAATTATTTAGAATTTTCAATACGGTTGGTGATAAATTTCCGCGTTCGTAAACAATCTAGAAATAAGAATATGGACGATAAGAAATGAATGTTATACTATTATTTTTATTAATTATTATTAATATACACTTACATGGACTGGTGGATAATGTGCAAATAAGGTCAATAGTCTGGAATTGTGACAATCATCCACAAATTCTCCAAGATGAAAGTCACCAATCGTTGTATCTATGAAACATACTCCAAAACTGCTGTTTACTCCTGATTTACATTTTTGAACCAAAGAGAGAAGATAATTAGAATTAGGTGTAGATACGTCAACTTCCAAAGGAGTATGAACTCTAGTACCCTTTGTACTTATTTGACAAATCTCGCGTTTTACAACCTTGTCGTATTTAGTTACTTTGGACACTAAAAAATAAAATAAATATCATTTAATATAAAACATATGTATTATATATTTATAAAATATCTTTTGGTATAATCCTTTACTTTTACTACAACGTTGTGTCATCATGTCTGGTGTTTCAGTTTGTTCAATACGTGCAATCTTATATCCTCTTTCAATAAGACTCGTTGAAAAGCGTCCATATCCAATTTCTGGGAAACCAGAATGTGCAAATTCTCCCTGTAAGAAAAATAATTAGAAATTTGATAGTTTTGTTTACTTCTTTCTATCAACTTACACGCATGTATGTTAGATTAAGTTCATTAACTCCAGTAACTGCATCCATGTGATACAATTCATAAAACTTTCCAACTTTGAAAAATAGAACGCAATCAAAGTGTTTGCTTTTGATTTCCCACCACTGTCTCATGGCCTATGGAAAATAATTATTAAAATTATATTAAACATTTTATATTTATAAAGAATAAAAGATCTTACAGGTGTCTGATTGTTAAGGAAATCCAATGGAACGTGAACAGTCTTAGAATCATAGTCTGGATTGTTCGGTAGTCTTCTATTAATATCTCTTCTTTTATCAGGTTGAAGAAAATCATATTTTAAGTGAGGCCATGAATCTGCCGGAGTAACAGGTACACTTGTTGATTGTTCCTGAGATTGGGATGCAGTAATTGATTTTATTTCCTTTTTCCCTGACTGTTTGGGTGCTGTTTTTCCTTTACGTGAACCTTTGGCAATTACAGGCTTTCTTGGTTTCTTCTAAAATAATAAAGAACATTTAATATAAAAAGAAAAATAAGAACTTAAATTTGAATGCTCTACTAACCTCAGGAGTTTCTTCTTCTTGAGTATCTATTTCACTTTCTGTAACACCTTCAGATAATTCAGATTCGCTATCGTCATCTGCTGAATCTAAATACATGTATAAAATATAAATGACTTGATAAGCATTACAAAGTTGTTATGAATAAAAAAAAAAAGAACAGGTACCTGGTTTAAAACTATCCCCAGAATCTTCGCTATTATCATCGGGTATAATAATTCTACGTCGTTTGGTTTGAACCGGTACAATTTCTTCGTTATCATCCGACTCCTCATTTTTCCAATTTCTTTTGCGTATATCAGTTTGACGATTTTCTTTTTCTTCTATTTTTTTCTGTTCTATAAAAAAGAATTGTCCATTCGCAGTCCATCAACAAGGAGATTTATATGTGTATACTTATAATTAAAATTTCTTGCAATATAAGTTAAATAACAATAAATAATAGTAGAATTATAATGCTGAATATATATTTCTTTCGAAATAAATAAATAAAATAAATAAATGTATTCATAATTTAAGGAAATCGATCTACAAATATTTTAGCTTACAAACCTTTGTTCTTTCGTCCACTTTTTGGTGTTCCTGGTGTTTCAGTATTCGTAACTTTATTATCTTTATTATCTTTTTGTTTAACAGTCTTTGGTGATGTAAAATAATTGTACAATGTATTTATTTTAGACATTTTTTTCTATTTTTAATTAGTAATTAATAGTTAGAGAATTTAAATAGAATTTCTTGGAAATTATTCGTTAGCTTCTAATTCGTACGACGCTCATACTTCTCTTCCGACCACACGAGGCCAAAATCGCGGCAAAATTTTGACCATCTCTCTGATGTAATACCTGATCGATCAGGTACATTTTTCCCTAGATAAATAGAAACAAAAAATAAATTATTTATCAATTATATTTATAGAGAGCATTTCGTAGTATTTATTCGGAAAATAAATCATCAATAAAGGCTTCCGAAAAATTATGAATTACAACAACAAATTTTCAATATTTTTATTTTTATCATTTCTGATGTATAAGTACTAAAAACATTGTGTCTATTCCATTTACATATATGTGGGCACCATTTGCATAAAAATCTATAATTATCATTCAAATTTTTGTATTATTTTTTAATTTCCTTAATGCATGTATCTGCATATTTCTTAACTCTGTTTAAATTCTATTGGATTCGCGCCACTTGTATTAATTTATTCTGTCGTCTAATCAAAATGCAGATATTTTGTCTTCAGCCAATCAGATCTCCGATTAAGGGTAGTTTTTCATAGTCACGATGAAAATTTGCAAATAAGCAAATAGTTTTTTGTATTATCGAATCTAGTTTCTTTAAAATTTATATTAATAAGCATCTGTACTTTGTCATTGGTTGAAAAAGGAAATGACGTAACGAATTGAAAAGTAGAGCTAGCTATTGGCTTAAATTTACGGAAGTTCGATTGGTTTCGACTACTATCGAGAAGAACACAAAATCGATAGTATCGATATTACCGTGCATAGTGTCCTTTCTCAAAGTACACTTCATGCCTTACGTATTCTGAAGTTAACCAAGTGGGCTGGCGTGGTAGTTACTCATTTGTATTTCTGATAATCTTCGTTACAACCATGTCTGCAGGTAAATATATTCGTTAGAACACCTTATCTACATAATTCTTTATATTATTTTATATAGATTCACTTGTTTAAAGTTTTCTGCGCAACGTTAGCATGATTTTTACACGAACCTAACCAAACTTTGTATAAATTGCACCATGCTTTCAATATTGTACCATACACCGTTAATGCCACATTTCATACATTTTAAATATAAAATTAATCCATTTATTCAGGTAAAAAAGGTAAAAAAAAGAAAAATTGTAAAACCGTCGATTTGATGTCATTTTTGGCTGATGGTGGTGGAACCCCTACCATACCTTTGAAGTCAACGAGTTGGGCCGATGATGTCGAAGATGAGCATGGTATGCGAACATTATACATTTATAATTAATCATTATCAAATAATCTATGTCAAAAATAATTTCCTTTTTTTTTGTATATATATATATATATGTGCATATAACAGGTATTATTTCTATTTTAATTTTCTGTTAATTTTTGATATAATTTTAATCGATAGTAAGACTATTTTAAGAATAGTATAAAATATATAATTGAAAGATAGTAGATAAAATAATGGATAGCATTAAAATGTTCAAATATTAAATTCCAAAGTTTAATATAAACTAGATAAAGAGATTTGTATGACTCATACATCCAATAAAGATAAAACAATGTCTAATCAATATAACAATTAACTAAATGATATGGAAGAGAATATGGAGGAGAAAGTTGTTTCCTTCATTTCTTCCGTTGTAATGAATTATTTTTGTTAATGGTTTTTTATTTTATAGAAGGTGGATATACTTCAAGGAGTAATAAAGAACCAGTTATTCTGCCTACTGCACCCAGAGCAGCAAGAGATTCGCGTATCGACGAAGAAAATATTCCTACAAATCCTCCTTTTGTTGCATATGTAACTAGTTTACCTTATGAAGTAGATGAAGATGATCTTGTTGAATTTTTTTCTGAAATGAAGGTTCATTGATTTTCTTTTTATTAAAAAACTTTCAGTTTGTCTACTTGATCATATATTCATTTTGTGATTTTAATACTTTTTAGGTTTCCAGCGTGCGTTTACCTAAAGATCCAAATAAACAACTTAGAGGATACGGTTATGTTGAATTTGAAGACCGTCAAAGTTTAATTAATGCTCTTTCTATGACAAATACTGTAAGACAACGAATAAAATACCTTCTTTTAATATCCAGATTAATAGATAATATTTTAAATATTTGTTTATAATTTGTAGACTATGAAAACTAGGCGTATTCGTATTGAAGTTTCAAACAGCAATAACGATGAACGACGTGGTGGACGTTTAGGAAGAGATAATCGCAGGGATACCTATGATGATCCTGAACGTACTTCTGGGGATTGGAGAAGTAGGCCTAGGGATGAACCCGCAGGATCAGAAGGTGATTCTTATCGTAGACCTTATGACAATAGGGAAAGGGAGAGAGAAAGAGAAGGTATGCAAAAAATATAATATTATATTTTAATATATATTTTTGTATTAAAACAACAAAGAAATATGTTTTAAAAATTGTCTCTTTTTATGTTTATTATAGTTACTGATGATAAGCCTGGAGCATGGCGTAATAGAAGCGAAGATGACAGAGGAAGATCTGCGTTCAAGGATAGAGGTTTTAGAGATGACGATAGGGATAGAGAATGGTCACGCTATGGTGACAGAGGTGGTAGTAGAGATAGAGATGGCGATAGAGATAGAGGTAGCAGTTTTGGTCCACGTCGCGATTATGGAGATTGGGAACGCGATGGTCGTAAAGATGGAAAAGGAAATTCAGAAACTAAGCGTAAGTCAATATAAGAACATATTATTAATTACATTGAAACTTCAAATATTTATATTGTTATTTTTTAATGTATACTATTAAATTGTAGCCGCTGAAACACGAACCAGACCAAAGTTACAATTGCAGCCTCGCACCAAGCCTATCGAACCATTAAGTACTAAAGATGAAAAATCTGAATCGACAACTTCAGCTACTTCCTCCGCATCTGTGCCTACTACTACTAATATTTTTGGTGCAGCCAAACCTGTCGATACTACTGCCAGAGAGAGAGAAATAGAAGAGCGTCTCGCTAAATCATATGCAGAGTCAAGATTGAAAGATGAAGCGTAAGTGTGGTATACTATTTTAATATCATTTTACAAATGTTTCTAATTATTTGTATAACATTTTTCTTTGAACCTTTCCAATTACAGAGAAAACGAAAAACGCAAGGAAGGTATATGGGGTCGTCGGAATGGAGTGAGTTTTATTTTATAAACAAATTTTATTTGCTTATTATATTACAACGAAAAATAAAATGAAACGATTGGATTTATTTTATAGGAGGATCGCGATGATAAAGAAAAGGATAAGAGTCGCGAAACATGGAGATCAGATGGGGAGAAAAAATGGGGCGACAAATCGGCGACAGCTCAAAGTCAGCACTCGACTACTGCGCGTCCTGGTATTTTTCTCTTTGTATTTAAAAAAAAGCTATATACGTAGTTCTAGTTTCTATAAATATTGTTGCTAAAAAGAAACACACTGGATACAATTAAGCGTGCTGTTTGTGTGTCAGATCAACATGGAGATTCTAAAGCGGATTCCAGAGGAGATTCTAAAGGGGGTTCCAAAGGGGATTCTAAAGGTGATTCCAAAAATTCCAATTCTCGCAGTGGTCCGCCACCAATAAAGAAAACTGATAGCCGTGGTTTAGATAGGTAATTATTATTTCATTTACTTGTAAATCATGGAACAAGATATTTACATTTAGATATTGTACGATATGCTTCATAGTATGATGTTAAGTTAATTGCATTTTTATTATAAAAATAAACTATAGCAGGGAACGAAAGGATAGAGATAAGGAGAAGGATGAACTCGATAGAATGCCCAAGGCAAAAGACGAAAAAGCTCCAGTGAGTAGAATATATTTTTTTTTAATATTGTTACATATATATTAAAAGATGTATATATGATGGAAATTTTATTTCAGAATTTTGTCGTTTCCAACAAGTATTCCATGTTACCTGATGACGCGGATCCTGACATAATTGAAGATTAGTCGTATCATCATAATTTATCATGCCACGAGCATGCTAATTGGTCTATATGCATATATTACTAATGTTTGATTTACAATTAAAACTACGTATCCCATTGATTCACAAAGCAAGGCATATTCTCTTGGTACTATTTTACAGGAATTCTTGTTGATTTATATATATATATATTTAATCTATTTTATTATTCCGAATATAATTATCAATCTTCTATTTGTGTATTTGATTTATATTTAATAATATGAATACGTATATATATATATATATATTTTGTGTCACTAAATCAACGAGGAAAAGTTTTCATACAACTATATTAAAAAGGAATTATTATTTCAATACCTTATATATATATATATACATATATATATATATAATTATACATTTTATATATATAATTATATACATATATAATAATTCTATAAATATTGCATTCACGAAATAGGAATTGGGATTTTATTTGTTGTAGAGTTGTTGTACATTGTATCTTATTTACAATATAATATATCGATACTGATACAGTTATGCCAGATACTGTGTTATAGTATTTTTTACGATACAGTACGATGTTTTCATATATCATCGATAAAAAAGAAAATCAAAGTAACAAAAGATGAACACCTTTGTTAATCGAATTAACTTTGTGCTACGCTGTGTCCGTTGAACAATTCAAATTATAATATAATAAGGAATTGCACGCGTTGGAGAAAATAACGTTTACGTTCGCATACATATATATTTCGAAGTTTTATTACATAATCTTAGATTTATCATTTTACCTTGTCTCTACTTCGTATAAATTAAACTACAATTCTTTTTTATAATATTTTAGTAAAATAAATTAGTTAATATTAATAAAACTAACGGTATTGCACAGTTTTTTACAGAACTGTGCAAAAAGTTTTCATACGTCTCTATATACATATAAATATATATATATATATTATATTATATAGAAAAGTATTAATTTGATATATTATGTCAATTTTAATCGATCATTATTGTTGAGTAGACTGTGCCAATTGACGCAATTGCTTTAATACAGTTTCCAACAATTTTTTCTTATCCCTTTCGCTTTTTTTCAGTACGGAAAATACTGTTTTCTTATCGAATTCTTTAAGTCTGTAAAAGAGTACGTCGTATTAATATTTATATATATTCGATGATAAATAATAAAAAAAAGTTATACTCTTGGCTACATACTTCTCTAATAAAATCACAGCCATATTCGGAGTTACTAAGTTATATTTGCTTGAATCATGACCATAGTCGTGAAAGTAGGTTGGCCAATCCCAGCCCATAAACAAGTCTAACAATTGTCTTAATTGACTAAAGTATTGCAATAATGTACCTTCTGGTAAACCGACAATAGGTTCTGAAGCAGCAAACTCTGTAAAATGTAATCATATATTGTTGCATATATATATATATATATATATATAATAATTGCTTACTACAAAATAAATTTAATCTGTAAATACAAAGAATACATACGTTCACATTGTATTGTATCCAAATTGACTTGCTGAAGCGCACCCATTGATATTTGCTTCACATCTTCGCTAATTAATATATCTAATATAGCTTTTGCTATATGATCACAAGCCGATTTACATGCAACTTGTGCAACTTCATCCTAAAAGTTTAAAAGATATATTTATTATTAAATAGAATTGTTTATGAATTTTAACATGTGTATATACATATATACATTCTTTTTTTTATACTTACTGGTAAATTAGTAAAACATGTAAATGTACTTTGTAAAAATGCTATGAGATCTATAATGAATCCAGAAGCATGGCCTTGAGGTTCAGACAAATTCCAATCATAATTTTCTAATTCCAAAAATTCGTCGAGCTTTTTTTCAAGTTTTTCACAAATCTGTGTTTCTGCATCTTCCCTAGCTACTCTAAACATAGCAGATTTGTCACCCACACAACTTAATTGTCCTTCGTGCTGCGTTCTGTAATAATATGAAATTAATAATTCCTTGAAATGTCGTGGCTTTTTAAAATGTTATTGATAACGTTTGCTGAAGATTAATTACCCAGTAATATTAGTTACAAATTCTTCCAAATATTTTGTAGACTTTTCTAAATAGCCCATGTTTATTATAATTTGAACTACTTGTAAAAGGGCTAAAGATGGTTTTCGAAATAATGACGACAAACATCCGCTAAATGTTCTCGTTAAAAGTAAATTTGTTGATTTACAAATCATTTCGTCTATTTCCGCTTGCGTAAAATTGAGATCTTCGGAATATTTTAAACAAGCATAAATGAATTCTTTAACTTGTTGATACACTTTTGGAACCATGGCTGAAAATGGAAATTTTTTAGGAAAATTTGTTGCTTTTTGTAATTCTTCGTCATGATATGGAAAAGAACTAAGAATGCTTTCATATTCTGCTTGTGACGTGACCTGTAATTAATTAACTAATTTGTGATATATGACCTATAATGTATAATGATTTTTTTTCTTTTCTCAAGCTATTAACCATACCTGTAATGGTAAAAAACTATCTTCGTCTAAAATATCTCGAAATACTTGAACCCAATGTTGCATAAGAACTTCATTATAATGTACACGAATTTCGTGTAGTAAATCCCAAAGTTGTCCAACAGAATATCCATAATTCTAATTATTACAATAGAATGAAAATGATAAACAATCATATAATTTATACTAGGCATGTATCACAAATTTTACTTACACTCAATGTCGTGTTAAAAAGCATTATTAAGTTTTTTATTTTTAATATTAATGTTGCATCTGTACAATATGCCTAAAAAAATTTAACAATTTAATCGATTAATATTTTTGAAGTTATACATGTAATTTAATAGAAAACTTACTGAATGCGTTCTAAGTGAATTGACTATTTTAGATAAAGCCATAGTCCACAATTCTTCTAAATAAGAATAAGTAGCTAATCCATTACTTGTATTTAAAATATGATCTTCCACCACAAAAAAGCCAACGATACTATGTAAGTAAGCCTGATATCCGATCAAACTTTCATGCTAAACATAGACAAGAGAATATTTTAAATTATGTATTACCATAACAAATATAATTGATACAAATGCTGTAAATTACCATATTAATAGGAGGTTGCAAAACAAGTCTAGCTTGTTGCTTTCTTTGGTTCCTATAATAAGTCTTGAATGTTTCGGCTTCGCAGAGGACAGTGTAAATGTGCATGCAACGATATACTGGACTAAAATCCATTAAATCTTGGGCGCTTAATTCTTCCTCTCCGTCGCTTGATTCTGAATTTGTATGTAATTTTTTCTTTTTACGTCCAGTAATCTCAGCTTCGATAACCAATTGCTCAGCAGTCTATTTCAAATGCGAGATACATTATATATTATATCATATTATTACAAAATTAATCTTTTCATAATATCAGAAAGATTTAACTTACGTGTCTCATAGCAACCTCTCCAATTTTTGGCGAATGTTTTCGTATATTTTCGAGAAAATCTCGTAGATCCGACATGGAAGCATCTTTTATGTTTTCACGTAATCTACAAATTTGTAATAAAGAGTTATGAAATTACTTTTAATATTATATCTATTTAAAGTATTGACAATTTTTGCAATACTACCTACTGTGGAATTTGTTGAGTTATTTGGGAAGAGAATCTGTAATTTGTAACTTTTGGAAGGTCATGGTGTTCGAGTTGTTCGAGGGTTTTTAAGGCTGGATAGTAACGTTTATCTTTCAATTGTTTTTGTAGTTTTGCGTATGCTGCCAAAACAGGAAGGCATATAGTGAGACTATTTACAGCAGCTGCCATGTTATTTTCTACTTTACGTGCCCGTACAAGTTCTTCTGCTTTTTCAATGACCTTACTCGAAGTAGAAGTTATACATTTATCCAGTTCTAATACTTTTGCCTGTACAGTTAACGACAACTTAGCCAAGTTATGCAACTAGTACGTAAAAGAAATATCTGATAGAAACTTATAGAAAACATAACTAACAGTAAGTTGTTGCGCTTGCGAACGAACTTGTAAAAGTTCACGAATGGAGTCGATGAATCCTTGATAGTGATGATTACACAATCTTTCAATATCTTTGTCATGAGCTTTGATCCGCTCATCAAGTTTCTCCTGAAATTTCTCGTATTCATTGCCATCGTAAATAGCCCTGCAAGAAAAAAAACTAATTAAAGAATGAATGGGATGACAAACCAAGTTAAACAAACAGCAACAGTATTACCTGATAATAAGGTTTATACTATTATCGTTTGATTTTTCTATTTCATACAAAAAATGTTCGTGCTTAGTTGTAACGCTCGATAGAATATTTTGAATTTGAGCGACCGATAATTTTGACATATTATTTTATTTTAATTTATTTTATTTCATTTTCTTTTCATCCCTTAACTTGCGCCCTCGTTTCCACCCTTTCATTGCGCATATGCAACGTTCGACCTTGCATCTGCGTAAAAGGGGTAGTTTCCGTAGGCGCGTTTTTTCGATACAAATTCAATGACATAATGCAACCCTAAATAAAACAGACATACCGAAAAGTAGGTCCTAAATAATCATCAATAGCTTCTATTTCTTGTATAAGGGCGTCGTAACGTTGCATCTTTATTTCACTCCTTTCTAATGTTGACGCTATGAGAAAATTTCATTTATTCAAAGAATTATATTAAATTTGGTTATAGCAAAACGTCATCTTAACCTATAAATGATTATTAATCGACGTTTTCAGTTAGAAAAAACCATGCAGCGTAGATAGAAATAAATAATAAAATATTCTATGCATTTATCAAATTTAGAACCACCCATATACATACGATCCTGATCGTTCAAGGCGCCCTCTAGTACCAAAATATTGAACTATTTTATTTTGGTACCCCATTTGGATTTTTTTATAATTACGCTCCTGAATCATGAAAGTGCACCCTTAGAATTTTTCTAGAGATACATTCCTGAACATGTCTTTATTGCTATCAAACGTGAATCACGTTTGAAATATTTCAAAATGTGAAGAATATAATAATGGCAGATTTTTTACAATCAAGAATACAATAATTTAAGGTGATAGATTGTTTAAAAATGTTATTGTATATCATTATATTATTATTGCAAGGAATTATTATAAAGAAAACAAGTCATGTTGTTCATTAATTATGAAGTCGGTTTTTTAACATGTAATGATAATATTTGTTATTTGGATAAAAAGTCTTATTTATTTATTTATCTATACAGTTTGTCCTACTTTACATAAACGAACAATTTACAATGACTAATTATTTGGTATCGATATAAAGATGAGTCAAAGAAGGAAATACCTTGGAAAAACGAATATATTTCTGAAATTACATAAAACTTTACCACGAATACACATTGATACATAATAATGAATTCAAAGTTATTTAAACACTGTTTATATATACTTATGTCATTGAATATAATTGATCATATATTTATTAGAATATTTGCAATATTATTTTATAAAAGATTTACTTTTAAATTCATATATATATTAACATTTTACAGTTGAAACGAATTAGCCAGTAATCCATTAACTCCTAAACCTGTTACTTCAAAGACAGAACCAGCCTTAGGTTGTTGTTTCTTCTCTTCCTCTGATAATCCATAACTCGAGGTGGTAACGTACAATTTTTGTAAATTTGGTCCCCCAAATGCAACACTTGTTACTCTTTTAGCTGGAAGTCTGATTATACGTATTAATTTTCCAGTTTTTGGGTTCACATTAAGTACCTAAATAAGATATATTTGCGATAATATCGTATTCTTAATTAAATCAAATAATTCAGGTGTGTTTTTAACTGTGTTAATTTTAATTAATTGGTTATCTTTACTTACAACATGTCCATTAAAAACGGCTATCCAAAGATTACCATCTGTGTCTATAGTCATACCATCGGGAACCCCTTCGGTAATGTTGTTTTTTTCAAAATCAAAGACTATTCTTTTGTTAGCTAGAAACGATAACAAAATAGACGTCAAAGGTGTTCATTATTTTGCGTCTAATACAAATATTTAAATATTAATTTTACAAATGGTTCCAGAAAGAGGCTCGTAATCGTATGCTGCTATTTTACGTGTAGGCGAATCAATATAATAAAATGTATCATCTTCTTTATTCCATGCTAATCCATTGCTTATAGAAACAGGAGATATTTCAACATGGGGTACAAAATCTTTTCCTATACGATAGAAAGATCCTTGATTGGGTTGTACCTCTCCATTTATTTCTGCACCCATGGTACCTGTTCCAAGAATTTATTGTCATTAATTTAATTCTATGATTATTGCAGATTATATTTGAATACAAACCGCCCCAAAATCGTCCAGATGAGTCAACTTTGCCATCATTCCATCTATTGCCCTTGTGTTCTTTGTCGACGATAGCTAAGACTTGGGTAGAAGATTTAGTTAAATTAAACTCAGAATCCCATGTAACTACAGTAAAATCGATACCAGAACCCGCTACAAATTTATTAGGATCATCCTCCACGGGTATGGCTACTCCAACTGGACCATTCTCTAAAGAGAAAACAAATCATTTATAAAATTAATCATATTGCTTCTATTAAATTGATTAATTTATTATATACCTATGTATGTATGTGTAACAGAACCAGAAGTAGGATCCAATCTGCATAATAATTGGTTTATAATATCAACAAAGAATAATTTTTGAGATCCATGATCCCAATGAGGTCCTTCAGAAAGTCCAAATGGTTTAGTCACCGCTTTAATTGTAAAACCGGGTGTATTTTCATTAATTTCAGGTATATTTTTGCTGTAAATATAAATATATCTAATTATTCTAATTACTTAGATATGAAATGGTATTGAAAATTTCTTGAAAATATCGTGGGTAAAAAAAATAAATAAAACAAACTGATAAGATAATAAGAGTAATAATACTGATAAACCGGACATGATTATACCACAAATTCGTTTTTATGAATGACATAACAAGGACAAATAAGTTATAAGGTTATCGCATGGAACGAGAAAGAAAAAGAAATGCAAGTGCATCTTTAGATCAATTATATGAAGTCGGAAAAGTTTGAAAAAATTGTAGACATACTATTACACAAGTTCTACGAATATTCAATAAGTACAGATTATGTAAGAAGGAAATATTTACCAAGCCATTTGAAAAAAAAAAAAACTGATCAATTGTATAACAAATATATTCGAACAAAAATGATCGGTAATTATTAAAAAATAAGATATAAAAGTAAAATGACTCTAAAGGTATTATTAAATAAATTATTATTAAATTTGATGAAGAGAACCGGTTTAATAATAAACGTATGGACGGATACGATGAACGTTCCGTCGTATCACAAGTAAAGCCGTTTTCAAACTACTTGTTGCCACTCCTCGAATATCACGTTGAACTCCAATTTAACTTCTTTCCATCCTAATTGGAAGCACGTCTTATAGATATCTTATGATAATACGTTTCATAGTTATCAAACCGCATATATTCTCTGTTATTTCAAATCTCTTATTTCTAATTATTAAAAAATGGTTTTTAAATTCTTTCAACGTATCGTGTGTGTGTGTGCTTATGTTTAAAAATTATTTTTAAATAAGAAAACGCGAGAGAAAAATAAAAATCATTAGTATTCGAATAGATACATTTTTGTATACTTTTGTACACATTCGATAAATTAGAAAGTATGAATTCCAGGGAGTTTAGAAACACACGATTAGGTATTGAAACAAGTTTACGATGATTTTTGAGTCTTTGTTTTTTTTTTTTTCTAATGTTCAAATATAATTGTAATATAATTGATTATTTTTACTTACCTAGAATGTGCAAAAATAGTAGAAATCAAAGTTAAATTTAAGAAAAGATTAAGAATATCGAACATAATGAACAAGTTGATGTTTTCGATCTTACAATAAGTTAAGGAAGTGATCACGAAACACGAGCTTGTCTATGATCGTCGCAAATTAAGAGGGGCGAAGTAGAAAGAATGCTAAAATAAATATATTCTTTATCCTTATATAGAGTTTTACGTTCACCTCATTAAATCGAAACTAAAGGACAAACATGTTGATTAACTTGATAGCGCGTAAAATCAATATTTTACAAAACGTGTTGAACATAAATTAATCATATTGATATTGCTTCTTCCATTGTATTTACATTTTACATTAATTTTACTACTGTCAAAAAATAAGGAAAATTGTCAAAGAAAAATATATTTTTTTTTTCTATTTCTTTTCTATTCGACAATTGACTATATTTTGCCATATTGATTTATTATTATCGTCACATCTGTTTCTATTTTTTAAAATGAAAATAAAATTTAATTAAACCTATTATCTAATATATCAAATATATTATCTTACGTTGTTTATTCATCTTTATAGAAAATAATACAATTTGTCTATGAAATATCTATTCAATTTCTATGTATCGTAAAAGAAATAAAATATTGAATAAACAAAATTTATTAATATGATATAAAAAAGTTATTTTTCCAATGGAAAAATATTGACATAACGATTATAAAACATTTGTAAGATAGTTCAACAGTATGGAACGATAAAAGAAATCATGTTTAGTTAAAAAAGGGGATTCTAACTTAAATAAGATTTAAAAAATCGAAAAATTCAATTTAAACGAGAACGAATGTACGCGCCATATGTGCAAACAATTATTATTTAATGCGCATGAGCAAATAATTATTAAATGCGCATGCGCGAAAACTGTGGTGTCATCTGTCGTCAAGCAAAGGAACCCTGTTCTCTCGCGGCCAACATCATCATGTCACGTGACAGCGGCATATTGATACGTGTCGTCTAAGACAGCCACGACTCGCAACCGCTTGCCAGTTTAAGCCTACGCGGCCACCTTTATTCGAGTCTTCTTGTTTCATGTACGAGTGTTAGACGGTGTTTTTCTTAGGATCCGTATTAAGAGCATCCGTTATTTTTACTCACGAAAACTGGTATCTCTAAAGCAAATAACCTTACGGAATTAAAATGGGATGTGAGTATACCATCGAATTATTATTAATTACAGGATAATAATTTATTTTCATAAAACAAATTACCGCTATTTGCGCTATTGGTAACCTCCCCTTTATGACTTATATTAAAACAACATATTGTTCCTACGATAAAAGTTTTCTTCCATTACTTAACTTTAATATTCGATATGTTATTTATCTTTTTCTTACATCTTTATTTGATGATTTTTTAGTTAAATTTTTGGAGGTGATAAAACCATTCTGCAGTATACTACCAGAAATAGCGAAACCACAGAGAAAGGTAAGTTTTCATGAATCTATTCATATCTTAAATTTATATTTGCCTATCGTAAACGTCATACTTTATATATTTTTATATCCTGAGAATTAAATCCGCGTTGGATTATTATAATACAGTTAAAAGAAAATAACCTTTAACCTAATTTAGCACGTGTAACGTTTCTTTCTTTTGTACAGACAGATCTTTGATGTTATCTATGTTTTTTTTACAGATTCAATTCAGAGAAAAAGTATTATGGACTGCAATAACGTTGTTTATTTTTTTAGTATGCTGTCAAGTAAGTTATTTATACATATATATGACTTATTATTATCGTCACATCTGTTTCATTGTATAAGAAAATATTTCAAAGTTTTTAATATATATTATTTTTTGTAGATTCCACTTTTTGGCATTATGTCTTCAGACAGCGCAGATCCGTTTTATTGGATTCGTGTTATTCTTGCTTCCAATAGAGGTACCCTAATGGAATTAGGAATTTCTCCCATCGTTACTTCCGGCCTTATCATGCAACTTTTGCATGGAGCTAAGATTATTGAAGTTGGTGACACTCCGAAAGATAGAGCGCTTTTTAATGGAGCACAAAAATGTAAATACAAAAAATACAATTGTCTGTATCTTATAATATCTTCATCGATTAAATGATTTTCTCTTTTTTATCTGGATACAGTGTTTGGTATGGTTATCACTGTTGGACAAGCCATTGTTTATGTAATGACTGGAATGTACGGAGACCCAACTGAAATTGGAGCTGGTGTTTGTCTTTTGATCATCATTCAATTATTCGTTGCTGGTTTGATTGTATTACTTCTTGATGAATTACTTCAAAAAGGTTACGGCTTAGGAAGTGGTATTTCTCTTTTCATTGCTACTAACATTTGTGAAACCATTGTTTGGAAAGCATTTTCTCCTGCCACTGTCAATACGGGTACATTGATTTTAATTTTATTTGTTTATAACCTGATTACATTACTATGATGCATTACTTAAATTGTTGTTTTATCTATAGGTCGTGGAACAGAATTTGAAGGCGCTGTTATTGCTTTGTTCCATCTCTTGGCTACAAGACAAGATAAAGTTCGAGCCCTTCGCGAAGCATTTTACAGACAGAACCTACCTAATCTCATGAATCTCCTTGCTACCATTCTAGTATTTGCAATTGTGATATACTTCCAGGTAATGTGTGAAATATTTATTATACCTTCCAGAAGTATCTCTGTAAAAAAGAAACTATATAAATTGAATATATATATCATTAATATAAAATAAATTTATATTTGTAGGGTTTCCGTGTCGATTTGCCAATTAAATCTGCTAGGTACCGTGGCCAATACAGCAGTTATCCCATAAAATTATTCTACACTAGCAATATTCCGATCATCCTTCAATCAGCATTAGTATCCAACTTGTATGTCATATCTCAGATGTTGGCTGTAAAATTCCAAGGAAACATCATTGTTAATTTGTTAGGAGTTTGGTCGGATGTTGGTGGTGGTGGTCCTGCTAGGTCTTATCCGGTTGGTGGATTATGTTATTATCTTTCTCCACCGGAATCAGTAGGTCATATCGTCCAAGATCCAGTTCATGCCGTCTTATACATCTTATTCATGCTTGGTTCATGCGCATTTTTCTCTAAAACCTGGATCGAAGTCTCTGGCAGTTCTGCGAAAGATGTGAGTTACAATAACATTTATATATAAAATAAAATCTATATACTGTATACAATAATTTATATTTTGGTTACGTAGGTTTGGAAACAATTAAAGGAACAGCAAATGGTTATGAGGGGTCATAGAGACAATTCAATGATTCGTGAATTAAATAGATACATTCCAACAGCTGCAGCATTTGGCGGACTATGTATCGGAGCACTCTCTGTATTAGCTGATTTTCTTGGTGCAATTGGATCGGGTACTGGTATATTACTTGCTGTGACTATCATTTATCAGTACTTTGAAATCTTCGTTAAGGAACAAAGTGAAATGGGTGGGATGAGCACACTATTGTTCTAAATATATATATATATATATATATATAGACTTTATTTATATATATATATATATAGACTTTCAAAGTGAACTTTTTTAATTTTGAAGAACTGAGAATAATAATTTATTGTAAAATAAGAACGTTTGGCAATGTCAGCACTAATATGTACCTGATTTGCCATAAAGTGAAGTCTCCATCGTGTGAATCAAATCATACAATATGTGTATACTATTGCCCGATAGTAGATTTCTCTATATAATTATTCAATTCTTTCATAAATTCTTTAATATATGTTAGACTTATATACTTTATGTTTTTCATATTTTTTGGATTTATTTAAAAAACAAAAAAAAATACATTTTTCTCTCATACCTAAGTAAAATAACTGTTCGTTTTGCGCTATATGTCCTTAGTACATAAAGTCATGCCATTTGCAAACAAATGTAATGACGGAGCGTAAAAGAAGAGAATTCATAAATTAAATCTTAAATGCTCGAATAAGAATGTGAAAAAGATTTATTGTCAAATGCTTTGTCCATGCATTTTATGATGATGAAAATGTTTCTCACAGGCGCACGCGCGAGTAATGTACATAGTAAGAAAATAATAAAAATATTCTCAACATTTTTTACTAATATTTTAAACTCTGTATAATCCAGAGCTTTATGAAAAAGACTCCAGACGGGTACGATTCGGATTCGTAACGTTTATATGAATTTAAGTGTATACAAACGTAATCATTTTGTTCGGACGAGACACCCACCTAGGGTATTCGTACAGCAATCAACTCATCATAGGTAATACATCATTCCTGTATTATTAAAGATATAACACACAATTTAATTTCTTCAATGTTGTATTTAGCACAATGTACTTTTATAAAAAGTGAAAGTTGTTTTTTGTCTTCCTTGCTTTTTGTCCTACCTATAGAAAAAGAAAAGAAAAAAAAGAAAAAGAAAAGAAAAACATTTATAGAATAGAAGATATCTTTCTTTAAGTTCATTTATATATTAACTCAATGTCAATCGTCAAACAAATATTGCAATTTGTTAATATCAGAAAGAGTATGAATGTGAGATGATGTATCATTGATGCAACATATAATTATTAAAACTTATAAACGAGTGTTGGTTTTTTATATATATTATTATAAACAAATTAGCAAATGATTATATATATATATACGTATATAAAATATTGGTAAAAAAAAAAGGTGGAAAAAAAAAAATCTTCCCAACAAAAATTCATTTCTATTTTATAAAGTGTGAACGTCCTTTTCTACTTTGTATGTAATAGCGTTGTTATTAATAATAATATACCTACTGTTATAAAATTTCAATGTAGAAATTGGTATATTGAAAATACCTAAATTGTATTGCGAATAGTATAAAAATATTAAATTCTTTTCGAAGCCACACATTATATCAAGTTTTCATTTTTTTGTATTAATAACTTTTCGTTAAATTCATTTCTTTTCTTGTTTAATTCTCCAATATATAATATATATATATATAAAATAAATAATAATTATATTATTTACAAAAGTAATTATATTCGAAAAGATATAAAATATAAAGGCGTTTTTTGCATTATTATTTATGTTCATTAAAAAACAATGTAGAATAAAGTGGACCTAATTTATGAATGTTTGCTAGTAAAATCAAACGAAGTATTTCTATGAAACGTGTGTTGGGAATAGAAGTGTCGGTATCTCTCCATGCTATATTAGATCCTTCATTTCGAGTAAATAATGCCGGGGATGGAACATTCTCTCGCATGTATGCCCATACGCATTCTCTCATAACAATATTTATCTATAATAAATACAAAAATAATATTTATACTTATGATATGGTATAAATTCATATAATGGACAAAAAATTTCAAATAATTTCTTTATAAAATAAATGTGTACGCGCATACCTGATTAGCTTCTAAAACGGGTAAAATATCTCTGATACTTGCTAACGGAGGTGGCAACAATTGTCCAAGCGCCATAACGTTTATTAATGCAACACCTTCTTCAATATTCCAATTAGCCATAACCGTAGCTGCTATGCCTCTTAATAAAACAGAACAATATGCTAAAGCTGGCCTGTACCAAGCTGTTAATTCCAACAGAGTCCATAAAAGAGGTACATCTTTGAACGTACGACGGATTTGTAAATCTCTTTCCACAGTAACCTGTAATAATAGAAAATTCGTATGAATTAATATTCGAGAATTTGTAATCAATCGGTAGATTTTGAATAAAATACCTACTTTGGTAAATTCTTCGTCAGGCCACGGTAATCCATTGTACATAACATCGGGTGATACTAATTCAACTAATAACAGACTAACCATTGTTAATGCATCTAAATTAACAGGATATTGTTCCGACTCTTGATTGCTACAGCAAGCTTTAATCACGTCAATTAATAACATTTTATTTATAGTAATAATCCCTTTATCGAGATTATTTTCAGGTGGTGGTCTTCTTGGACCATGACCTATTACACCAGCATGAAACACAGAAGAATTTCTTTGAGCTAGCATCGTACTTGTAACCTATAGTTATGAGAGGAATATTAGGAACATTCGATATAACATATATATATTTGATTCGTCAATATTAGAAAGTTATATTATAATATTACCTGTTTATGATTTTGATGCAATAATAACATTTCTTCAAATTGTGGCTCGAATTTTTCCTTTGCACCAAAATATTTAGCTGGATCATTATTAATACAATGTACCAAAATATCTCTAAGTGCTAAAACCCGTGCGCACTGAGAATAACACGTTAAATCCTTTAACAGATGGCAAACTATTTTTATGCCTTTCTCTTTCTTTATAATATCTGTAAATGAAAATCAATATATTTATGCAGGTGATATATATATATAATAATGTAAATAATTTTAGAATAAATATAAATTACCTTCTTCTGCTATACATAGAAAAAAATATTGCAATATCGCTTTAACTAATTTTAACGCAAGTTCAATGTTCGGAACAAAATAATCTTTCCCAGGCATACTTAATAAAGCTAGCATTCCAGCTATGTCACTAGCTAAATCAAAATTATCTGTTTTCGTTAATAATGAAGAAATTTGAAGTAAATTCGATTTGATGGCTCTAGTTACCATTTTGGATCTAAATACTACAACTCTGTTAGATTTCTCCCACCTAAAAAAAAAGAAGAAGAAAACAAGTTTCTCATTTGTAATTAATCTTCGGTAATTAAATTAAGTCAATATTGTATCATGCGTAATTCCTAGATATTACGTTAATCTTTACTTTAGATACCTACTTTAATAATATTGTAAGATTTTCAAATAATTGTCTTGACTCTTGAATCTCTGTAAGACTCTTATAATGAATTTCTCGAAGTGCTTGTTCTACTACTTGCGTAAAATAACCATGATTAGCGAACATAGTTTCGCTTTCTGGTTTGTTTATAGGAAACAATATAGAATTGTTAGAAATAAGATGTATCAATGCGGCTAAATGAAATGTCGTTTGCGCTTTTACCAACATAAATGATGCGGCGGATATTAAAATGTTAGAACTTTGTCCGCCGATAAAACACAATAGTCTGACTGCTGTTTGAACTCGCAATGGATCTCTATTTAGAAGTAATGGTATTATCACAGGTAACTCTTGTTTGATGGAATTTAAAAGAGAAATATTTGCAGACTGTACGTTATGTGTCCTTAAAGTTAAATTTATTTCTTGTAGCATTAACTCTAATATTTCACGACATACATTACTGACACTCTGAGTTGCATTCACACTGTGATATCCAACATTGCTCGTATTCAAACTAGTATCTAATAGAATAATTATTATCTGAGATGCTCCTTGTTCGCAACCTAGTGCTAAATGTACGGCTAAGTCAATCAATGACTCTGGTTGATTATTGAAATATTTACACCAATCTGAGGCATATAAAGCAAGTCGTGGAATCACATCGGGATTTACTGAAATATCAAATTTACAATTACTTTTTTATATTTCTATCGATCTATCAAAGTATTTACGTATCTTACTTACATATTTGTGGAATATCACTAGTCATCTCTTTTAATAAGGTTTGAGAAAGGGAAGCTAAATTTAAAAGATATGGTATAGTAGCTAATTTTTGCTGCCTCGTGTCTTCATCGACATTTACACTTTCATCCAAACTCCACTGTAACGAAAAAGAGTTCAAAGTTAGTAAATCAAATATTTTATTTATTATTATAGTCACTTATTTTCATATAATATCTTACTTTAAATAAATCCAAAAGTGCAGTTCTAATGTCTTGAAAGTGACTACCAGCTAAATGTCCTAGAATACCAACTACTGAATTCAACTTTGGATTCTTTACATTATTTTCATAACCCATTGCACAGAAATCTTTTAATCCACAAGATAATACTCTAGTAATAACTGTATTTGGAAAACAACTTCCCACATGAGCGACAACCCAATCAAAATGTGGACTATGTGTTACACTTGCATCTAGTAACGCTTTAATACAAGATTCTGTATCCGAATGCATAAGACATTGAAGACATTGTGCTGTGATGTCGATCAATGTACGAGTAGCACGACAAGACATCCATTGTTGTAAGAAATCGTTGATTCCAGCGTTACTCGATAAATTGCCTCGTTTTGAATATTCCGATGATAATTTACCTATTTAAATAAAACAATTAAATTATAAAGAAAAATAGTTTATACGTTTACATGGTATATAGAAAATTAAACTCGTACTTACCAAGCAATTCTAAAGACCATGCTGATATAATCGGTGCCCATGCTTCTGGATTTCCATGAATGAAATTACTTAATACAGAATAGATTTCTGCGATGATACTTTCCTCAGATATAACTGTGCTTTGATTTGTCTGTAAAATATTAAAATAAGTTAATATTGAATAAGCAATAATCAACAGCAATATTATTATTGTTTACCTCAATTTGTCGTACGTATTTAGTAACTGCAATAGAGAATACATTACAAAAATATTCAAGTACAGCATCCCTTGCAGCAGGAAGATTTTTAAGTAAAAACAAAGCTGTCCTAGTTACATCAACTGTATTTGTATTGTGGGTAGGTCTGACAGCCGATGAAATAAATTTTCTAACCTCTGCTAATATATCTTGTGGTGACAAATTATCCGGTAAATGTAACATATTTAATATATTAACTTATATATACATACACACACACACACACACACATAAAAGAAAAAGAAAAAAATCAATTTTTAATAATTTTGAAATTTCAATTACGTTTTGTAATAACTTTACATGAACATATTCATATTACAACAATGTGTAAACACATTTTTTTATTTGTACGCATAACGTTCCCATTGGTCAAATACAAAACTGAACACACTACGTTAATCAAAATTATATTCAATATTAAAAAATAATACGAGCGTAAATTTTGTCAAATTAAAATTAATTTATATTCACTAGAATAATAAAAATCGCTTAATAATATAGAATTATTATTCTGTTCAAATAGATTAAAAATATAAATTTTAATTTGACTCGAATGCCTGTTTGAAAAATTCTGCTAATGCAAATAATTAATTACAATATCCTTTCCATTATTTTTTTAAACTTATAGGATGACATAAGATCAATCTCTTATTGAAAAAAAAATATATCGATGTCTTTTCAATCTCTATTTTTTATTAAATTCTTATTACAATTATATAATTCTAAAAAAATCAGTATAAATGTCAACTTAAAGTATCTAAAATAATTTCTACAATTTCTATAATACTTATGTGAAAGATTAATATCAATTATATAATAGATAAATGTTAAAAAGAGTCCTTAAAAATATTGGAATATTTATATTGAACATTTAATGGACTTGCATTTCACATTTATGTATGGAAGGCAAATAGTATATTTTTCTTTTCTCATCGTTTTAACGTCTCTTCTTTTTTTCTTGCTTTCGTGGCCGATGAGGTTTCCTTGGAGTAACTTGTGGACTATTTTCTGAACATTCAACATCACTTGGATCATCCTATAATTATTATCATTATATATAATAAATACAATAAATATAAAGCCAAGTGTATATTAGGTTGTCCAATAAATTCATGCAGTTTTTTCTAAGTTTATTTTAAGTTTTATTGGATAATCTAATAAGATATCTGAGCAATAGAATTTATAAGTATACTTTTAATGCAGCAGCTCCATCAGATCTACCTGCTTGATAAACGACTATAGCTAATATGCATATAACTTGAAATATTGCTCCCACATAAAGTCCAAATGTTAACATCTGTTCAAAGAGCGTTTCTTCAGCAGGAAGTAAAAGGCATTTCAATTGTGGATCAGCATCAGCCATACTAAAAAAAATACATGCATTTAAATACACAAAACATTACAATATTTTCTAATAAATATCAACAATTAAAATTATCTATATTAATGATATGGGATCAAGAAATTTGTAGAAATAATGTATAAATGAAATAACAATACCTCTAGCTGAGTTTTTCAACTTATTTAAGATATTGTCAAATATTGTGTGAGAGAGAGATATCAATTTTTATTAAACATATATCATAACATAGAAATCAATAACCTAAGCAACAGTCGATCGTATAGCAGAAAGTTCGGTTTGTATATAGCAAAATTTGCAGAATTACCAACCACCGCATTTAACGTATTTTAAATGACATCTATCAGATATATTGGTTTTATTAAAATAATAATTTAGACAAAGATAAATGTTAAACGCATAATCTATCAAGTCAATAAAGTTATAAAGGGATGTACAAAGAATATATGTTTTTATTCAGAAAGTTCATCAATTTTGAAATGTACAAAAAGTTCGCTTAATTTTTATTGCAATTTTCTTTAAGTTGTCATCTTGCACAAATTTAATACGATAGATGGCAACTGTGTAGATGCAATTGATCGTTATGCCATCTGGGAGTAATAATGTGTATTAATTTGTAATTATTTTCAATATTTTAATCGAAGTAATATTAGTTAATTTAAATTATACTTATTTATTATAGATTATTTTTGTTAAAATAAATTTATTTAAAAGTGTTAAAAGGTACAAAGTATTCGTACTAACATGAAAATAAGGATTCGTGTGTTGGTAGAATTGAAATTGGCGCGCCGATAGCAGCGCCGGAAGCTTTTGGGTTCGAGGCTTCATTGCTTGCGAGTCCGTGGATGTAAACCTTTGTTTTGTACAGAAGTATGGCTGCCATCTTTAGTTTTCGATGGATGTTTTCCGAAGAGATCGCGAATTCTTGTATTTATTCCGGTATTTAATAACGTAATAAAATTTAGGATAGTGAAATAACGTCGTCCAAGATGTAAAAAGTGTTTTCTCCTTGATTATTTAAGCTGCCTTGGTGTTAGTTCCGTTAAAAAATGCTTGTGTTTACATCTAAGTTTCGAGTGAGCTTCTGTATTCCTGTCATATTAAGGTAAGCGATGGTTTTTTTTCGATATTTTTAATACTTTAGAACGGTTTAGAAATTGTAATTGCATTACTTCATTATTCGGCATTATTTAATATCATTTTTAAATAGTTTTTTAATTTGGAACATCGAACTTATGACGGATAATATCTTAGATGACATTAAAATCTTATTTAACGTAATATATTTTTTTACGTATCAACGATCAACTATTTATTCATTAGGCATTGTTCGATCTTTTATTATTTGAACCGTTTCTTTATCGGCAACATGCGTACTTTTTTTTAATGCTTTCTATAACCAAAAAAGTTTGAAAGAACATTGAAATATTAATGTGTTAAACTTTTATCGGATAGTTTATTAAATAAATATTGCAGATTATTATGAAGATAAGATTTTGACAAAATATATCTGTTAATTACGATTTCTATTCCGTAATGGTGGCAACAATGGCTGGTAAAATGGTGAGCGAGGGCAGGTCAACCACATTATATACTTACAACTTTAAATATTTTCAATGTACATATTAAAAATAATTATTGTCTATTATGTTATTTATATACTAGCAGATTTATTCTCAGTTATTTCGGGGTTCTTTCACGCGGATTTAGTACATTGATAGATTCATTATGTCAACTTGTGAGTAATTTTATAAACTCTATTTTCTTGAAAGAATATGAAACAGTGTTGTTTGGATTATTTTTTTATATAAATATTATTCTAGAACAGTTTACGAAGTATAAATTAATTATATATGTGCATTAGAGTGTTACCGTAGTTTCCTTTCATTTCCATTGGAAAAATATATGTAATTTCCTATGGGATAATTATTTCTAATTATATCTTTTGTCTATGTTTTTCACAGTGAGTTTATTAATTTACATATATTGAAGTGATGTACTCGTTACTTTACAACATATTGAGCAACATACTTGACATATGAAATCTTTCAGCTAACCATAGTATATAATGTGGTACATTGTAATGTCATAAAAGGTAAATAGTTTCAGAAACAATAAACATAAGTTATTAAGACTGTAATATTTTTTATTTCAACTCAGTCTAGTCGATCCTAGAAATTATACAATCTGTGCAGTGTTCATTATACTTAATACATAAATTTATTTGTAATGTGTATGTGAGTATTAAAAAATATGGAAAGATTATTTTCTATACTTTAAATGTTAAGTGATAAGATGTTTATTTAAAAACAAAAAAATTGTTTACTATATAACACCTTGATATTTAGTTACTCTCACATACATTTTCAAATACTAATATTCAACAAATGTGAGACGCAATCTGTTACATTAATTGTGATATCAATTAAGTTAACCAAAATTTGTTTAGTTTATTAGAAATGCGTATTAACAAAAATTCTAACCTATTTCTTGCTGAAAATTCATATATGATTCCGAAGAGAGAAGTCGGCGGGAATAAAAAAATTTAACCAGACGGCGCTGTTTTCGCCTTTTAACGGCCATTTTGTCGGACTCCCTTCTTACCCGCCACCTATCAGCAACTACTCCTCCCCTTTCCCCTCTTACTTCTTCCATTCCACAGCTTTCACGCAATCTCTTTTCGTTTCCTTCTCCGATTTTATATTTCTCTATTATTTTATTTTTAATCTCTCTATTCAATAACTTTTTCTTCATTTCACTAACCGTCATTTGTCCTTTCGTATTATTTTCTTTGATCTATCGAAATGTTTCGTTTAGAACAACCTTATTGTTTCTTTTCTTTTGCCCTTCTTATGTTTCACTTAATCTATGTCTCAAAAAAAAATCTCTTCCTAATTTGAGTTTCCGATCTTTTGTTACGTTAGATCAATGATATACCGACTTACGTAAAAACAACGAAGTATAGTAATATACTTTCTTTTTTCCTTATTTTGCAATACCGTTCAACTTTTTCCTCTTTTCATCATTGTTTTATACCGAACAATAAATCATTGATAATGGGACACATAAATTATTGAGATACAATTACATACATGTATAGAAGATATGCAAATTAGAAGAATGTACAAAAAAATATGTATTAAGGAACGCAAAAAGGATATTGTACTATATAGTTACATCTAAACATACGTTTTCTCTTTTCTATAGATACAATTCAATAGTGTGTCCTATTTTTACGTTTTACGGTTTTTCACAATATCTCTCTCTCTCTCTCTTTCTTGTTTTCTTTCTCTTTTGCTCTCGCTAGTAGCAGTGGAAATTTAAATCGGTCGTTTTAAAGGATACATCTTCAGAAGAGGCGCGTAGCGCATAGTGGGCGGAGATAGAGGATGTTCCGGAGAGGGTAGTGGAAGTGAAGTGCAAAGAGGGGAGAATGCTGCACTTTAACTGGGCTGGGTAGGGGACCACGAATGAGGGACGAAGGGTGGGAGGGATGGAGCAGTAGGGTAAGGGCAAGGGTGGAGGGAGGTTTGACGCGCTCCGGTCGACGGTGGGTTGGCATTCGTCGGTTGCGAGGTAAAATGGTATCGACCGCAAGAGAGAAGTTCACATGGATTGACGAGCACGCGCGACACACCGAATGCGTGTGATCCATGCGAAAATTTGTAGGCGAAGCAACCAGCAGCAGCAGCCAGAGCGCAACGGTTTTGTGCTGCACCGGTCGGTGGTGTTTTAGGGGAAGCAAAGCGGTCAGAGGGTGGGCGAGGAAAAGACCCAGGGGCAAGAGAGAGAAATCGTGCATTCGCTGCCCCCGCGGCACTCGGCCTCGACCTGACTCAAAGCAACGACGTTTGTCCCCATTGATTCATGTAAATTAATATTATCGCGCCTCTCCTTTGTGTGCATCCCCAGTTCCAATTTATTTTCATTATTATTCGCTGTTTAATGCGCGATTCAAAATTCCCGCTCTTTCTCTATACATATAAATATATATATATATAGGTATAGGTATAGATAGATAACGTAGAATTGTTACCATCGTGTTGTTTCACTTTAAAGATCTCCGAGAGGAAGATTTTCGTTCAGATTTAGTGATGAGATAACTGCTACTGCTTGCGGATCTCACTGAAGATCTAGCTTTTTTGCGTTTATTATATTGCGCTGATGCGTTTCTTCGAGATGACGTCAGAACTTATTAATGGTTCGCTTGTTTATTAGAAGAGTAACTTTACGTAGGAGCGCTAATGCATTAAGAAATATGCATTTAAGTTTATTGTATCTTAGCAAGATAGAAAGATGATCGATTCATCTCATATGGGGTTTAATTTGTTAGCAGCTTGTTGTAATGGGAGATTTTAGAAACGTAACCTTTCAAAGTACATGCATGAAGGATTAGCTCGTGATAATATCGTACATAATACTACATTGTAGGATAAATGTCTCGTTTGATAAAGTTAACGAATAATACCGAGCGAATATTCTTTTTATCTTTCATTGTATTCGACTGTAATCTAATAGGGTCGTTAAGATAAAATAGACACTTGCAATACTTGCTTATCAGTGTTTACAAACGCTCGCGAGCGCGCGTCTCTTTCGCATGCTTTTTCATTTTACGTAGTAGTAGTCCTATCTTTGAATTTTTTCCTTTTTTCCATTCATCGTTCCGCAGAATTGTATTTACAGCAGTTTTAAACGATTTTCTAAAAAAAGAAACGAAGTATCATAGGGAATTATTAACATTAAATAATATATAGAAGTATCTATTGCAATAAAATTTGTGTATATAATAAATGATTGGTAGTAGGAGTAGGAGAAACACAGCAGAAGGAAGGAGAAAACTGCATAAGTTCTCTGCAAAAAAACACTTGTATATAGGTGGAGGAGTGGGGAGGAGGAGGAGGAAGAAAAATGTTGCGCTCGCGAAGAGTTAACCTTGGATGTAATAGCGAAGACTCACTACTACAATGCACTCTCTTGTCCTCTTCTCTCCTCTCCTCTCCTCTTCTTCCACCTTTCCACTGAAACACCCACGTAACCTGCGCCTGCGAATTTGCTTTCTCGATGGAGGACAGGTAATCTCAACCTCTGTCTCTTTCATGTTACGGCTCTTTTACAATTTTCACGAAACACGTATTTTTTATACTCGATTATTTATTTCATTTTCTCATTCGTAATTTTCTCTATCTATAAAGAATTGTTAAAATAATGAACCTATTATGTGCCTTCATAATGTTACTAGATTCGTTCCTCTCAGTTCATTTCCTTCATTCCTGCGGTCTGCTCGCATTCCTAAATAGTTAATCCATAGAATCCCCGCAGTCAAAAACCGTCCGTTCCCTGGGGTACGATAATGAATGACGTTAGAGTATAGTAATCCAACATCAATAGAAACAACTTCATTGTCTATGAAAAAGAAAAGAAGAAAGGGAAATAAAATATAAAGAGATCAAACAGATATTTTCTTTTTTTGTGTGTTAAATAATCTTATATATGTACAACACCAATTACGCGGGAATATTAAACGTTTGCGATATAAATGAAAAAGCAATTCATTAACCAATGATGTTTATTTATCCTGATTAAAGTTTTATATAGAGAAAGAGAGAGAGAAGGATGAAAGAAAGTGTCGATATTTCATAAAGTTTATAAGAAAAGGAAAAGGGTGCCGTCATCGGTGTAATATCACCATCCGATGCACAGCATTGCTGCCTCTTTTCGCCATCACCATTCTCTCCTCCAGTGTATCGTTTCTTTTTCTTTTTCTTTTTTATTTCCTCCTCCTTCTACTCCTCTTCAATCCTTGCATCCTTCCCCTCTCGGATTACCGCTCTTATAACTCTCTTCTTACTCTCCCTCGCACTCTCTCAGCGCAGCAGCAGCAGCCAAAGAGAGTAAAGAAGGATAAGTAAGTTAAAAAGAGAGAGAGAGAGCAAGTTCAGTGGAAGAACGAGAGTTAGAGAGAGATAGATAGAGAAAGCAAAGAAAGATACCGGTTATTGGTGGAGACTGGCATATTTCACCGGGTGTCCAGCAATCAGACCTTTGTATACGGCTCACTGCATGTTGCGCGCTCGTGTTCTTCTCCCTCGCTAGAAAAAAAAAGAAAAAGGAAAAAAAAGATGGAGGCAAAAAGAAAGAGAGAGGAGAGCGCATTGAAGTTTCCAGCGAAAGGATAAAAAGAGAAATAGTAGGAGGAGGAGAAAGAGGAGGTCGTAGCAAGAAGGGGAAGAAGAAAGCAAGATACCAAACGTTTATTTAACGACGTAGAACTAGCCGCTCAACTATGGCCGCTTGGGATAGCTAAATGGGGTTCGGGAGGGGTGGTGGGGGATAGTATATGGCGCATCGGTTGCGTTAGCTGCGGTTACCATGGGTAATGCTGGGATTGTTGAATACACTCGCTAGTTATCTCTCTCTTACTTTCTGTCTCTTATAACGTAAAAGAGATATCCATCTAACATATTTGTATGTTCCACCACTGAATGCATGAATGTTATTATTTTGTGTATAGGTATTTATTTGCGCACGCGTAACTGCTTTTCGAGCGGTACACTCGCGCGTATTTGTTTTTTTTTTTTTTTATTACGACGCGTCTTATTTACCTCTTAATGTGCTTTTAAAATACTTCTTACTTTTAGCGTTAGGCGGCAAAATACAAATCTACGAGCAACGAATTTAATTAATTACAGTCGGTAAAGAAGAATTCTTTATTTCCGGTTGCGCAATACGCGCAGCAGTTGTAGTAGAGCAACGTTATTGTGGGAAATTCCGGATTTCTTTTCTTTTGTTTTCTTTTCCTTTGAGAAAATGAACGAACGTTAAGCTTGTTACTTTTTATCTGGAGTAATTTCTTCGATATCTATGTGCAAACGTAATTTGTACTAATTTGAACACAGGCACGTGATAATTTACAGAGTTAATCATGCAGAGACTATTACATCGGTACAGTTTGTTTATAATCAAGTTGAGCTTACACGTCCAATGGAATGCATCGAGAGGAGTCGTTGTCGTCGTTGTTCTGCGCAGGCGCGACTATGGGACGCGAGATCGCAACACCATTTTCTTGTAACCACCGTTGTTTCAACATACAACAATGATGACGAGTTGAAGAGAATGGAAGACTCGACTAAATTTCATACCAATCGATTTTTAATTTCGTATGTCGACTATCGATATTTTTATATCGATTAAACAAATGGCGGGTAACTCTTCGTGATTTGAACAAGTTATTTACATTTTCTTTTGTTTTTTTTTAAATTCGTTTCCGTATGTTTCAAAGATGTTGCCATATGTTTATTTTGTAGTTTTCTTTTTTAAATCTAGTTTCATTTATTGCAGATCAATCATTGTCACTAATTTTGTTTTTATTCCGTTGTCGTCCTTGGGAATTAAATCGATAGCGCTATTTGAATTATTAATTTAGCAAGCGTACGTCTATCTGTTGACATAATTGAATTAAGAAATATTTAGAAACAATAATAAAGAACGGAAGTGATATGTCTTACGATACATCGAAGTATATAATAATCAGTTGGAAAATAATTTTGGTTTGCATTGAATCAATGTTGAGGGTCGTGGTACGCCAAGTAGGTCGCTGTATAAATCCCATTGCTGCCAACTTAGAAGAATACAAGTTGAGAGTCCCCGTGTGCAACGTCGCACGATATCGTCCCGTTGCGCTTCACCGCGGATTCGGGTGGAAGCTTCTCTTGTTTCGCGCCATTCACTAATGATGAGATTATTAGTTCTGTTTGTTTGCAAACTTGAAAAAGTATGTCCGAATTTTTCGATTATAAATGGATGACTTTGAAATTCACAGATGATCCAATTTCAACGTAGGATTAATTCCATTTATTTTCATCCAATCCTGTCAATTATAATCCACAAATACCAGTTATTATATTTCTATTTCAAACAGGTACCCCCAATTCTTTATTTCAAAATGGCGGCTTGAAAGGGTATATCCGAATTTTTATTGGAAATCGATGACTTTGAAATTCACAGATGATCTAATCTCAACGTAGGATTATTTTCATTTATTTTCATCCAATTTTGTCACAACCACTTGTTCACAATTAATCTAAATACCAATTATTTTATTTCAAACAGATTACCGCCAATTATTTATTTCAAAATGGCGGCTTATAATATGAACAATTCAAATTTGTTGAATCTTTCTTCTTATATTTCCAATCAAAGAATTGTTTTATCTTCGACGATAATAAATATTTAAAAGAAAGTAGGTATCAAAGATCACTGCTTTAAAGTCTCATAAGTTTTCTTCGATTATTATAGAATCTACAATTGGCATGAAATAAGTACCTTGTTTACCACATGCGCGATATGATTTTCCTTTTATATTTAGAATAAGAAAAGATTTTAAATACGAAGTAGAAAATTTGTTTCAATTGAGAGTGGATGCATGGGCTTGAATTTCAGTGATATTTTCTGGCATCCGAGGTAATGCAGCAATCATTGGATTTCGTAAGTTCTTCGGTTAAAATTAAGTCAGTCAGTGTGCGATAGAACGCATAACTTTGGTTTAAAGTAACGTTCTCGTTTGCTTTCGTCGATGGTAAACTATAGCAATAACTACGTCGTAGTTATAGTCACGATCTCTTTCTTTCTCTCTCTCTTTATCTATTTATCTATCTATCTATTTATCTAGATTTTAAGTCGCAATACAATCGATGATCTATATATATACAACATGTATGATTGTGTTTATAGGTACATACTTTTCTTAGAAGAAGTTGTACGAGTTAAAAGGAATAATAAGCTATGCAAAATTATTATATTTGAAAAAAATAATAAATAAAAAGAATTTGTATCATGAAAATATTAATGACGTAGATAGGAGAACAATTATCAATGGAAGGTCGTACCAATCAGAGTAACATAACGGTACCTTTTTTGTATTTTTTTATTAGCTTTATACATTGTATAATATGTAACATATATGATTGCGTTTCACTGTTTCGTTTAAACAAACTCTTGAAAATGGGAATGATTGTTTAGTCTATTTACAATATTCTTTGCGCGCAAAAAGCATTTTTTTGGGATCGATAAGTTCAAACGCGGCGCGACTTTCTTGTTTGAATTATTAAACTTCTTTGTGTGTGGAACCTATTCGTTTCTTTAGCAACCTAAAGATTTTCTAAAGAAGTATTGTTCCCACTTTGTAAAGTTTTATTCTTGATGAATCGATATAACAATTGGCCTCTATCATATGTACTAAAAGAATAATTGTATTTTGTTTCAGCTTATGGTCAATAATCCTCAAATAGCAGAATCGAAAAGTTCGTTATTTAAATCAAAGGTTAAAAAAAGAAAGCCAGACGATACTCACTTCTTCAAATTTTCATTGAACGTTATCGAAAGGCCTTCAAAACGTCGACCCCATCGGTGATCAAGTTATCCGGGGGTGGCACAGGTGGGAGTGGGGAGGAACTATCCCCAAAACCCGGGCCACCTCCCCCGGTGGTATCCCCAACCGGTGAAAAATGTAGCGAAAGTAATGAAAGTAATGCGAATAAAAAGAAAGATGCAGCAGCAACAGCGGTTGCCTTTGAACAGGGTGCACCAGGATCTGAAGCCACCATGAGTTTTGTATTACAATTGGACGCAATGGAAAACAATTCCGACGATAAAACAAAAAACGGCAGCGCCGCATCTTCGTCCATGTTAATTGATACCCAAGAATTAACGTCGCCATTAACTATTGGCGTTACTACTACGGCAAATACCTTAGTCGCAATGAACGACGACAATAGCGATAGTAATAATCCCCAAGTACTACAGTGTCTTGAAGTGACAAACGTACCCAAAATAGCAGTAACCCATTCCTCAATATCGCTATCAAATGTTAAATCAGTAAGTGTTTCGTATCCCGTTAATAAAACTAATAAAGAAGTATCTCAGAGGGTTAGCAGTTCTTCTCAAACGAATACTACCCAAGTTTCGACAACTCGTGTGATATCACAAAAATCCCCGTGTACAGCGTATATAAATCAGCCCTTAACGTTAAATGCTTCCTCAATTGTCACACAGTTATCAGTCAACTCGCAATCTTTACCCTCGCCCAGTGTCGCACATGTCTATCCTATGCAGGCAGCTGCATGTACACAGAACAATCAGCAATCTAAAACACAAACACAAAACACCGCATCCGTAACCGATGCTAGTTCGAAAAAGCAACAAGCAACGACGGTCGGTAATTTACAAACGACGAATGTGCATACGAAATTTCAACAAATCTCGCCCCAACAAATCCTTAATACCGCCACTGTAAAAACTATTACAACGGCTACGAATATTCCTAATATACAAAGGATACAAGTAAAAGGATCTAACCTCAATGGGCAACCTCAGACGGTTAACTTACAGAAAGTTAAAGCTGTAGCAAACCTCAGTAATCCTACTATGGTACAACGTAATACGGTATCGAGGTTTCAAGCTATTCAAAAATCCCAAGTACTTGCCTCTACTGCTCAAGGAACGCAGTTCACGGTTAATCAAATTTTTAACAATGCTAATGTGCAGCGAATCCAAACTAGTACTTCATCACAAAAAGTCCAATCTATTAATTCGACGAATTCCCCAAAAATGTCACAGGTCTATAATAACCAAAAGACAGCAGGTCAGCAATTGGTAACTAATCATACAAATCACAAAGTACAGCATCAGCAATATCAGAATAATCAGCAGGTACCGCCAGCGTTACAAAAGGTCCAGGGACAGCAACAAAAGTCATTGCCTATTCAAAGACAGAATAATGTTCAAAAGTCTAATAATTCCGTAGGTGGTATACAGAAGTCACAAATTAGTGGACAGATACAAAATCAACATCAGCCACCACAATTGCAGAAACAAGGACAACAGTCTCAATCATCACAGCATCAAAGATCGCAATCTGCAATTGCGTTGAACAAATCTCAAACTTTGACGGCTCTCACTTCGAATCGAGTGCAAACTATAACAAACGTATGTAAGAGTAATAGTGTACCTAATATCTCTAAGGTTCCACATAATTCAAATGCTCCCATTGCGAGCAAGCAACAACAGGGGGGAGCATCGCAATCGCAACAATCTCATGTACAAACGTCGACGCAATTGCAACCGCAATTATTACAAACGTCTCAGCAACAACATGTTACACAGAAACAGCAAACAGTTACCACGACACCACATATTCAAAGAAATCATAATATTACAAATATACATCAGAAGGTGTCTACTATAACCACGATACCGAGTAATCATAAAACTCAAACTATAGTAAATTCAAAGATGCAACAACAGCAGCAACAACAGCAACAACAAATGGTTATGAGAGTAGGTGTATCCAAAAATCAAGCGCAAAACTTGCAGCAAGGAAATTTAAAAACTATTCCACAAAAGATAACAAATACTATAAAATCGCCAAATTCTCAGAATTCTCTTCAACAATCTTTACACCGAAATAATAATTCTCAACCAGTTAAAATCATACAACAGCAACAGAATGTAATTGGTCCACAGAATACCCAAAAACAACCAGGTTGTATTAAAACTATTCCACCTCAGAAACCTGCTCAAAGGAATCATGCCCAGAAAGTGTCAGGATTTAAAAGCTCTTCAAATAATGTTACTGCGATAAAGAATCAAGGATTGATGACATCGGTATCGCAGAAAACGAGTATAAAAACGTTACTTCCTCAACAGACTGTTATGCAAAATATGTTAGTGCATAAGAGTTCTCCTATTAAAGTTCAGCAACAAGCTATACAACAGAAACAGCTTATTATGGCATCGCAATATTCGCAACAAGGTAGAACGCAAACGGGACAAATAAAAACTTTGCTCTCTACAACAAATACAGAAGTAAATGAAGATTTAGATAACAAGTAAGTACTCCATCATTTTGTATTATTTGTATAAAATCTTAAATTTATCTAGATTAATCTAATGGAATAATTTATTATATTTTAGAATGGAAGCAGATTCGTGCTTATTGAAAGTAGAAGAGATACAGAAAACACCACCAAAATCTCCAATTAGAAGAATGCCCTTACCTTACGAGGTAATATTAGGGTCATTAGTTATGAAACGTCCGATTATTTCTACTACTTTCAGTTCGAAATCAGATATTGTCATCTGTCGGTCAGACATTGACATGAACCTTTATCATCAATTAATAAATAATTTCATTTGGCTTGAACAACTTATTATCTAATTGTAGTGTCTCCAGTTCGTCTTACAAGATCATAATTATGGTGCACCACCACCGCGAACACCGCCACCTCCTTCACCACCTCCTCATCCTAAACAGCAGGCCATTAACGGAGCAGGAAGTTCTACTACTACTTCTCAACATTCTTATTTATATGGACAAGGTAAAATATGAAACAATTAGAAATAACTAATAAAGTTTACACGCGTCTATTTCTAAGCACAAACGTATTTATTACATTTTTTGATAGTAATGATTATGGTCGTATATTAATAAATCTTTTTATGTGTTTTTTTTTGTTTGTTTTAGTTGTAAATAATAGCAGTAATGTGGAGGATGATGCAGCTAGTGCAATCAGCAGTGAACCCGGACGCGAAGTAGAACCGGAAGGTGAAGAAACAGAAACTGCTGCTGAGGGTGAAGGTGATGATGAGGATAGTGTTACTAGATGTATATGGTAAAAGGATTTTCTAATATATATATAAATATTTATTATATAATAAATAATATATAAATATATATAAAAATTTACTTTTCTTATATTAATTTTCAGTGATTTTGAACATGATGATGGATATATGATATGCTGTGATCGTTGCTTGTACGTTTAAACAATTTATTATTCCTAATTGTATATTTGTATTTTATTAAAAATAAAATATGCATATAAGATCGTATGTGTATATAAAAAATGAATTTCTAATTTTACAGAGTTTGGCAGCACGTGGACTGCATGGGGATAGATCGTTCTAACATTCCTGATGAATATCTTTGTGAAATTTGTAAACCACGACGCGTTGATAGACAAAGGGCACGTACTTTGCAAATGCGTAAACGTGAAGAATTGTTAAATTCGGATAGTTCATCCGACACGTCGTCGGCAAGTTCGGTAGATACCGATATTGGTGTAAATCAGACTCAAAAGAAACGATTGCATCACCAAATTTCCAGACGAAAATCAGATCCTCCACCGCAAGTAAGAAGACTGAATAACAACAACAACAATAATAATAATAATGTAGGAAAAAGACAAAGAAGAGATTCGAATCCAAGACAGTCTAGTGCGGTACGAAAGAAAGAGACTACCAAACGAGGTCCAGGAAAACGTAAGACTAAAAGAAGAGGAAGCGCTGATGAAAAGGAAGAAGAATTTCAAGATGCATGGGGTAGTTCAAACATGACTCCGCTTAGACAGTGGATAGAAAGATACGAAGAAGCAGTGACCAATCATTATAGTCCTGAGTTAAGAGCTAGAATATCTAGTATAAAGGTCAATGGTACTCATTGTGATTTGAGACAAAGTAATATGAATGTTATTGCCACTGGTAAATGCAGACTCAATGTGCACAGCAACAACTTAAGAGTAAGTATATATATTATTTAGCATGTTATTTCTTTTTTCTCTCTTTTCTTTCTTTTTTTATGAACTCGATATAATTCAATTAATAAGAATTTGATTGTTCTACTATTCCACATTATTATCTTAGAAGGGATGTTAAATAATCATTTTTATGTATAACAGTTTTTAGCTGCAACTATGTATCTATCACCAAATACTCCGGTTGTTGAATTACGGGGAAAATATATGCTAAGTACGCAACATAGACCGTCGCATCCTCAAGGTAGACAGCATGCTCAAAGACCAGGGCCTTTTGTATTCTTTTATCGGTTACCACGGGATGGTACCGAAGTATGCGTAGATACTAGAACATATGGAAACGATGCCAGATTCGTGAGGCGTAGCTGTAAACCTAATGCAGAAATAAAACATTGTATAGAAAAAGGAACATTGCATTTGTATATTGTCACAAGTATGGCAATCGAAAAGAATGCTGAAATCACTATTAGGCATGAGCCACACGATTTGTTATTGTCACCTAATCCCAATTCCCCAGTGATACCGGTGACTTGTGCATGTAATAATACAAGGGAATGCCAATTTACAACAACAAATCAATTTAATAGAAGAGGTAGTAATGGGACTGTGGTAGAAAATGCTGAGTAAGTATATATAGTATAATATTAATAGAGATTTATTGTATATTAAATATAATTATTACTGTTGTCAGTATTGTTATTATTATTATTGTTTTTGTTTTTTATAGTGGTAGAGAAAGAAGACGACGAGGTAGACGAAACACAATATGCGAAGATAGCGATTCGGTACCTACAGTTTCCAGTACAAATGTTACACCATTAACGACCCAAGTGCCGACGGCAACACCCGTAACAGCACCGCCTAAAAAGACTATTGCAACTAGTAGTACTACGACCGTTACACGTCAACTACCTAAAGAAGAAACTCAAATAACAACTCAGCAACAACAACCGCTACCACAATCATCCCAAACTTCTCCTGCTTTACCTCAGCCAACTGTACAAGAGATGAAAAAGGATAAGAAGAAGATGACAAGGGAGGAAAGAAAAATGGAAGCCATTATGAAAGCTTTTGAGAGACTTGAAAAAGCAGAACAAAGAAAGCAGGAAGTTCAAGCAAGGAATGCGCAAAGAAAGGAGTCGGGTGGTACGCACAGCGATAACGAGGACAGTCATAATTCTGTCGTTTTACAAGCCAAGACAAAACAGCAAAATTCTGAAAGAACATTACGACGAAAAAAGAGGAAGGGTCGTGCAAGGACTTCCTCGCAATCCCAAAGTACTAGGAGGACACGATTAAATTCCGCAGATTCTGACGTATCGTCAGGCGACGAGAGTAATTCTATGCAATCACCTCCGCTTGCTACTCAAAATCGTTCGTCAAGCGGGGATGCATCATATTCTGTACATTTAAATACGCCAGCAAAAAATGGAAACGATGGCTCTACGACCACTGGTACATCAGGGGGAGGAGGACATCAAGGAATACAGACTGCCGCCGGTCTGTTACTAGCTTTAGCTAATTCAAATACACCTGGTCCAAGTTCTCCACCTTTACAGCAACCAACACCTGTTAAAAGTCCTACATGTGATAGCGGTGCAAGCAGTAGTTCACAAAGTTCAACTCCGTCCACACCGTTATCTTCAGCATGTTTACTTGTTGCAGCAGCGGTCGGGCCCTTAGCTCCTGGTTTTAAATTTCCAAAAACTAAAAAAGTTCTGATGAATGAATGGTTGAAGGAATCGCCAGACCCACCTCAAACTAATATACCTCAAGTCACGCCAATAACTTCTATATCATCTACTTCTTTGCAAAACTCTGTTGTCAATCCTCTCTGTAGGTCATCAGAGTTTTCATTACCCAATGATCCATCCGCTGAATTTTTAACTCAAAGTTATGCGGCCAAGAGTCTAGCCACACTTGTTCAAGCTGCTAATTCTGTTTCCGGTATATGCGATTCTCCACCACAACGAAAACAAATGATTACAGGAAACAATGCTTGTCCTGTTTCAACTGGATCTGCAAAAAAGAGATGGTTGAGGCAAGCTATTTCCGAAGAATGTGACTCGCCAAACAGTCGGCCTGAAAGTCCTCCCCCTAGCGAAAGGGTGGCACCACCTAAAAAAAGGAGAATAGCTAGGGAAAGTTTATCTTCTGATAATTATACACCACCAACTACACCAACGATGTTGCTTCCAGAAGTTGTTTCAACTAATAGATCTTTATGTAACAACGAAGTAAGTTACATTCATATTTATTGAATTAATTAACATTTGTTTTAATTTTTCAATTAGGCATAATCATACTATTATAGAATATTATAATCTACTAACTGAAGTAATATTATTTTGTAGGAATATCATTTTATTGAACAGCCCCAGTCACCAACAATGGAACATAATGGTGAACAACACGATGAATCCGAATTCACGAATGAAAAAAATGTAAAAAATAGTATTAACAAATCAGAATTGACGTGCAATCGCGACAAACTTTCTAATAACAATCTCAGTACTGAAGGAAATAGTAACAGTGAAAAAAGTGATGAAATAAAAGAATTCATTAAGATCGAAGAAACAGGATCTATAAAACAAGATGGAACTTTGATAAATGAAGAATCATACGTAAAAAGCGAGATATTCGATGCCAATGTTAATTCAAAAGTAGAACTCCATTTGTCTCCTACGGGGTTGATTAAAAATGAAGAAAAAATTGTTAAACGTGAGACGATGATGATGCATGATTTTCAAGTGCAACAAAATGCGCTAATAAAAAAGGAAGATATTATAAAAGAAGAAATAAATGAGAAGGGAACGGTCGAAATTATTGATCAAAACGAACCTGACACGGAAATGGAAGATTTTAGTTCGCCTAATGTTGCAATGGAATCCGACGTAATTTTAAATCAGCGCGTAGCTGAAATGAGATTAGAATTTGGTGGGAGTATAGCAGACATCGTGAACATTTCTAACGAGCAACGTGAAAAATCTGCTGACGAGGATGATAGACAGATAGAAATTAATAAAGATTCAGAAATGAGATCGGAGGATAATACCTCGATCGACGAATTTGACGTAGAAGCACAAATGAAAAGAATAACCGGAGACGATGGTAACGATTACAAAGAAAAAGTAGACACAAGCTCGGAAAAGGATAAAAGTATGGATGGCATAGAAGGACTAATGGAAAGTTCAAAAGAAGATTCCGAATCAGAAGATAATAGGGACATGGATGACGGACATGTATATTGCGAACCGTTTAAATTATTCGCCGCATCTAATGAAGACAATTTCCCAGAATATAAAAGTAAATCTTCCGAATTAACAAATCTTAACGTGGAAGAAGTTAAAGTAAATGTTAAACCTAATAATAATGAATCTCAAAAAATAGAACAAGCATCTTCTTCTTTCGTTATATCATCCGAAGAATCTATTTTTGAGTCAACCTCCTCGAACATGGATGCAGAATCTGTTCCCGAACCTCCTTTCCAATCAATACCACCGTTGAGCGAAAGAATTCGAAAAAAAACTGATCCCCCTAGTAACACTAAAACTCAATTAAATTTCGAAGCAGCTATCATCGAATCCACGATCGATATGGAAGCCGAGGAAGTATGTAAAAATGGGGAAGATAAATCAATGCTGTTGTCGACAGTTTTACGAGAATTGTTAGAGGCTAAACTTGAAGATGAATTATCTGACGAATCTACAAATAAAGTTGATAATGAGGATACTACCACCTCGTACAAAGATATCAGATCACTTTCACCTGAAAATACAGGAGAAGTTAAAGATTCATCAATGAAATGTAAAAACAATAAAGAAACACATTTGGATGAAGTTTCTGTTAAACAAAATGACGTACAACCAAAAGAAATAAAAAGATTGAAAGATCCTAGAACAGTTGTACCAAATAATTTGATAGTACCGTCTTCTTCTACGAATGCTCCTCTGCCAGTCAAGCGCAAGGTTAGAACGGTAGGATTATAGTAGATTTTCTGTTTGCACCCCTTTTTTTTTTATTCTTGTATTATTATTTTTTATATATATATATATATATTTATATATGTATTTTTTTTTTTTTTATAGTAAAATATTGAGAATTTATTCTAAGAGATTGATAAACTGAAAAAACGATATTATATTTGTTATTGGTTTGGCAGCTATCAATATCCGAATATCGAAAACGCAAACAACAATCGACTGGTACACCTCCAGAACCGGAGCCATCTAATGATGTTTCTACGATAGAAAAGGATAAAGCAAGAGGTAGATCAGATAGTGCAAGCAGTGGGACTTCATCTCTTAGTTCCGACGAAGAAGGTTCTAAAATTTCCCTTGATTTACCAGGGATTACTGCATTACCACTTTTCACTAATGCTGAAAATGATGAAAAGAAAGGTAATAACGAGCATCCAGATTCTTACATTGTACACAATTCCTGTTAATCTGCAGTCTACATGATATTCATCAATATCAACTTTAGAGTATGTATTTTTTTAATAGTTATAAGTTTTCTTAGGCTATCAATGTATAAACAAAAAAAAAAAAAAGAAAAAGAAAGAAAGAAAGTAAAAACTTTGAGACCATATGGATTAGTCAAATATATCAAATAGAAATTTGTATCTATTGCATTTTTATTTCTAAATTATGAATCATCAAAGGATAGTAAAAAATCATGCACGTTATAACCCGAAGTTCCTCATATTTCTTAGTGTATATCTAATAAATATATTTATAATTTATATTTAGGTAGTGAAGAAGGTACTATTGGTTGGTCCGCAGCACCAACATTGGTTGAACGTCAAAGAGAAAATTTAACGGAAAGATTAAAGCGTGAATTTGGATTATTTCTTAGTGACGACGAAGAAGAAAGAGCTCGCAAACATGGTAAGTAAAAAGATCGACATTTTAAATCGATAAAGCTAACGTCAAATATTATTTAATAGACATATTCGTACGATGTTCTTTTTTGTTCTTGTTATTTTTGTTTATTATTGTAGGTTTGACTGCAGAAGCAATTTTAAAAGCTCGTAGGACATCACCGCCATACTCTTTAATTCCTACTACATCACCTACGTTTCCTTTACCACATTTACCACCTCATCCTTATATACCACCACCGGGATCTTCAACTATGCATTATCCTCAGTTCCAGGCTAATAAGTCCTGTCCTTCTCAGTATTCCAATTTTAGTGCACCGCAAACAACATTGCAAACAGTATACCCAAATGTAACTTCTCAAGGAACTGTCAACAAACCAGTACAATTTTTGGTACCTCAAGCAGCATCTCAAGCTCCACCGGGTTCAAATCCATATCCTCCGCAATTTATTCCAACGACTACAACGACAGTGCCAATTTCCAAATTTTCTTCAGCGACTTCGACGTCCGGAACTACTCCTCATGTATTTTCAACTTCAGCTCAAACGCAGAAACCTTTTTTCAATCATCCTGCACCAAGGTCGTAACTGGTATTAACGGTAGTACTTTTTAACAATTTTTAGTTAAAATGTGATGATAAATAATTATCATTCACGCTCGCACGCGCTCTCTTTCTTTCTTTCTTTCTTTCTTTCTTTCTTTCTCTTTTTCTGTTGATATATGGCTAATAGTGATGGAATTAAAAGAAATTTGCAGCTATTTAAAATGAATATAAACATCACATTTGGAATATACTCGTAAAAGTTACAATTTCTTCTAATTATTATTTATTTGAAATAATTTGTATTCGCGAATACGTGTGAATATAATATGTATACACGCACACGCGTATATTAGTAACATAATTCATTCTACAAATCACATTGTATTATATACGTAGAAATTGACGAAAAAAAAAAAGATTAATAATAATAATGACATGTAGGATGTGCGAATATCTGAAGTTAAGAAATATGAGACTTGTTAACGTAGGTACTATTATACGCTTTTAGAATTTTCATGCGCAGAAATATACTGGGAGGTCAAATTCGATGGTTTTCAAAATATTTCAACAGGTTTCTGTGGCCTATGGCAATAGTTAAGTATTTTCGAGATATAGTCGTATGCATTTTAGATAGTATATGTTTGAAACCTGTTGATATAAATATATTTAACATCTCTTACTTGTAATAGATGAAGAGAGAAAAAAAAAAAGGAAAAAAAAAAAAAAAGAAAGAAAAGTGTATTCCAATGTATGCACTTTTTATACCACCAAAATGGTGCCGTAAAGTGTTTATACGTAGCATTAATCCAATTTTGATAATATTTAAAAAGTTAGAATCTCTTTTAAATGGATGATAAATCAAAGATCCGTTGATCGAAATCTTTAAGAACAGTTATCATCGTCACATATATATAACGTGCACTTATGAGTCTGCATTATTCAATTAAAATTGTATATATTACTTGCATATATATGCATAATATTATAATAATATAAATCTTTATTTAATCGTAATTGTTAGATTAACCGATAGACTTCTAATAACACATAATTAATACCTTGTGCTGTGTTGTTGTACTCTTTCAAAAGCCAGTACTTGCTGTGTCCAGATTTCTCTATATTTTATATTTCATCAATGTAAAATTCTTAGATAATTAGTTATAATAAATACGTTGAAATTTCATTTCAAGAGAGTTCATTTATATTATTGAAAATAATATATTCGATATGAAATATGTGTTTATAAATTTAATTAGTTTTTTTTCTTTCTTTCTTTTTTTTTTTTTTAATCACATTCGCGTTTTATTTAGGCATAAATATTCTCATAAATTTTGTTAGAGCTTTTATATTTTATGGCACATGTCTGTTTCTGTAATGGCCTTAAAGAAGAAGAAGAAGAGAAAAAAAAAAAGAATATTGTTAATATTATAGAAAAAGACAAGGCCTTAGATACTAAGTATTTCTAAATTAATATATTTCAAGCATGACGTAATTGTTTTATATGTTAAGAAGTCTAAAGAGAACACGTTTGTCTTGATAGGATGATGTTTTATACAAAAGTTCTAAGTCCTTGTTATATATCGGTTGTTTTCTTCACAATAATATATAGATATATATCATACCTACATAAAGAAAAGGTGCTTACTTATTTTAATTTTTACGGCGAATCAATAAAACACGCGAACGTTTAGTTGTTGTATTTCAATTTAGAAAAGATTGACGAAAACAATTTGTAGAAAAACAAGGTTGTTAAATTTTGGGATAATTAATATCCTAAAATTTAATGCTCACATCTAAGTACAAAGCTGAGAATAAGCAGGAGAAAATTTCTAACAAAAAAATATTAACAATGAATTACAGTAATTAAGAAGATTTTGAAACATTTGTAGGCGCTATTCTATGAAAAGAAATCGTTGTATAATTTTTGTTTAATGTTTATATAGGATTTTTCAAAGATAAAATTGTATCTTTTAATGTAACTAATTTTATTTTTCCTGTAGTCTTTCGATGCGTTTTCAATGGAATTGTATATAATTGTGCAATTCTGTGTGTTTAAAAAACCTATACAAAAAAAAATAATAGATACTTAGTGGAACAAATAAATATGTAATTTAATAGCTCCTAACATATATATATAAAATAATTTCATTTAGAAATGTAAATTATGTATCGAATATTATTAATATATCTATTCTAGTGTACACATCAATGTAATTAAATAAGTGTACAAAGCTTCGTATAAATTTGGCTCATTCGTAATTGTGTATATATATTATAACTGTATTACTAGTTATTATATTTAAACGTATATCAAATTATTATTTTTTAAATTTCATTTATCTAATTTTCTGATAAATTAAACTAATATTAATAATGTATTATTTTAATTTAACATTATTCAGTTTCATTAGAGAGTAAACAAAAATTATATTTAAAGACACAACGAAAATTATTCATGATTTACATATGTAACAATATATCGATATGCGCTTGTCATAAAATATGGAATGCCTCGAGTCATAAATGCGGATAAGCAAATTAATTTTAGTACTACAGTACCGGTGATTATTTTAGTAAACTTATATAAATACTTATGTTTCATTTTTCCATTTAAACATTAATTTCTTAAAAATGTTGCGATATGGTTAGATTATTAATGACAAATTACACACATGCGTTTTATCAAATGTAATAGAAATGCTAAAACTCAAATTTTCTTCATATTATTATCATGGACTTTTACTTAATAATTTTGAAAACAAAAAATCGAACAATTTACGGATCGGAAATAAAGAAGAAAAAATAAACAAAAGAGAATTGTCAAGACAAAAATAGTAAGCAAATTGTAAGAATTAATACGCATATAGGAACAAAAAATACACTTCCTGAAGAATTTTCTACCATCAGATTTTAAGCATATATCAAAGTTTGGAGATCTGTGATTAGCAAATAAGAGGTAAAAATTGAGTTGAAATATTTATGTGTACTATCTAATGAAAGTACTTTATCAAATTCCTAATTGCGTATGGATCTCTTGTCTCTACAAACAAAAATATTCCTCCCCGTTTACATTATGTTTAGCTGCGATTTAAGAGTCAAAACAAACATATTTTTGGCATTTGGTATTCCCTTATACTTTAGCCAATATTTTGTAATAAAATTAGTACCATAAGATGCAAATATCACAGGTGGTGTGCATATATACAAATGTGTGTACATCTATACATATATACATATTTATATATATATATATATAAGTGTACAGTTTTTATGTTCTCCACCTGAGTATATAAGAGAGATGAAGAAAGAAAAAAAAGAAAAAGAAAAAGAAAGTGTAAATACTTTTGTAAGATAAATTTAAGTATCGATGTTTCACTTAAAAAACAAAAATCTTGTACTTTCTTTAAGCTCAGTAACAAAAAAAAAATATGATTGGTGTATGTGGTCGCTTTGAAATTCTGTCTGATTTTCTGATATAGCCTTGCTATATACTAATACTTGTATAGTAATAATAGCAAAGAAGTAGGACAGCGATTCAAATAAATTTGTTATTAAGTACATTTTCTAATAGAGTAGTTCGTTAGAATAATCGTTTAAATGTTGTACATAAAAAAAATTACACAGCAATTTATTACATATTAGCATATATATATATATATATATATGTGTATATATATGTATGTATGTATGTATATGTATATATATACATACATAATCTTATAATAATTTCAGAACACATAATTTTTTTATTTGCGATTTATGGTTACTTGTATGTGCCTAGTTATAGCCATGTTACATTACTACGTACACTGTATGATAATTTAATCAATACTATCAATTATAATAAATGTAACAAGTTCTTGGATATCAAACTTGATATGATATATATAGATATATATATATCTATATGTACAACATATGTACAAACATATATATATATATATATTACATATTATGGCATAACATGTAAAGAGCTCATATTTAGGCATACATGAAATTTAATAAATCGAAATACATTTTACGAATTAATTATACTCTCTATTATAAATGTTAAATGATACTTTAATCTTCTCTCATATCCAATGAAAAAAAACGTTAACTGTTATTGCACAAGTTTTTCCTAAAAAATTCCTCTTCTAATTTAGAACTAATTGAAACTTCTAATTTAATGTTTAGATAATGGGAAATCACAAAATCCTTAACACGTTGACTGCTATTTAGGTCATCGGTGACCTCAACATGACCAAAATAATAAAAAATAATAATTAGAGTAAATATCGATACTGATAAATTTTTAAATAATATCATTGGTTTTTATACGGATTTGTGAAGAAAATAATTACATACAGAACATGCAGAAATAATCTTATTAATACAAGAAAAATACGCATGATATTTAACGACGTTTTATCTGTACTAATTGCTTGATAAAATGGAATCTTTATCATCGGAAAATTTAACTAAATGCATCGTTAACTTCATCCTAATATCAGGAATAAAAATCTTTTTTGAGTTACTTGTTTGTATGAGCCGCCATTTAATTTACAACACAAGTAATCAGTAAAAGTTCTATTGCTAATTTCCTGTAATATTTTATGATTTTTCGCAGTAGTGAAATATAAGCAGTCAACTGATCAAACAAATCAACTACAGATTTAAATAAATTCTTATCTACTACCATTTTTTTGGACAGTTTGAAACAACTGATAATTGCATTAATAGTTTACAGCGTCGCTACGAAAAATGAATGCATTAAACATAATTATACAATTCTTTTTATTTGTTGTAATGAAAAAATTTCAACAAAATATGCATCCCATAATAAAAAATTCATCTAGGCGCCATGGGGAAAATCACGTTAAATGCGCCTTACAGTCAACGTGTTAAAGAACTCGATAATAAAGACCAATTGATGTCAAATGAAATACACGTTGCATTAAATATTATAAATTGTAGTTAATATCGTGCGCGAAGCTGATAGTTACATAAAATCATTGAAGTAACGTGTGCAAAAAAGGGTATCGTACTATATATCTACGTACAAGAAGATAAATGGTATATCTCACGTTAATTGGCAAAATATTTTCGTTAAAAACATTGATTAATTTCGGTTAAAATATCAAATTGAGATAAGAAATATGTGTATAGAAAAGTTAATAATATTTTTAATTAATCATTTGTATGTATAGAATAACAAAGTGATAAGAAGAGATATAGAAAAAATAATAATTTTCTATACAACATATTGTCGAACGCAAACGGAAGTTCCATTTAAAATTGAAACCGTTTAACCCGCTGCTTCGTATACTGCAATTTGATTGATCAAAGGGAACTGACGTCATCGTTGATAAGCTGCGCAATTGGAGGAGAAAAACAGCGGGCGTCTGCTGTGACAGTCGCATTCAGAAGCGTCCGACGCGGCGGTGGTGATCAGCAATCCCAAGCAATGGCCTTGTCGTCTCAGTCTCAGCTGGATGCAACAGCTGTAGAAAATTTTCGGGAGTATTTAAGAATACCATCGGTCCAACCGGACATTAATTACGGTGAGTAATACTATTATTGACGTTTATACAAATTATTTAGATTCGACGAAACGTCCCTTAATTTTTATTTCCTTCTTTGTTTTACCAAAGTTAAACGCGAATCGTGTAGGAATGATAAATGTATTGCAAATTGTGTCCCTACCTCTCGGTGTGTGGTTACTACGTGAATGGGGTCGATGAACGATGCGTTTCCTCTCTAAGGAAATTACATTTTTATTAATTGTATCGAAACACATATTCCAGACTTTTATGGTGCCATTCTATCGATTACATTATTCTATAACATCCAATTCTACCGACCCATTTCTAACCGGTATTTTTGAATCCGGCGAAACGGCGTAGCGTCTCAGACGCTATCGAGCCATTGTATATGCCCCACCCAACACACAATTTTATTTCTATTTTTATATTTTTCGAGCTCAGAGGATCCCCGCTAAGTATACGATAGTTTTTCAAACGTACCCTTCATTCGTTACTTATAAAAAAATCATCGTACTTTTCAACGAACCCAACGAAAGACCAGCCGAGGAGGTAAATCTTCCATTCGTCATTGAAATTCTAATTTTATTTTGATCATTCTTATCTTCATTTTGTTATATACAATACAGATTTGTTCGTTTATGTCATACAGATAACCGAATGACATTTTGTTCCTCCTATTTGTTTTCATTTTTATTAAAGATATACCGTGAATGCATAATGAAAAGGTAATCTTAATGATAAAATTGTTCAAAACATACCCAAATGTAATCTTCGAATAAATAGCGATAAGATAGTCATTGTTTTTCATGAGTTATTTATTTTGTATCAATCATGTATGTCACTTGTAAATTTTATCAGCTGTTGCTCATGAAAAGATAACATTTTTTCTTATATAACTTTGTCAATCATATAGTACTAAGGATATTTAATTTTCTATCAAATGAACAAGTCAAAATTAGTGCGACAGAGATATTTCAGTTCTTGTTAGATTAACATATACAAATATATTTAATTACAGATGCTTGCGTCGAATTCTTACACAAGCAGGCAAAGTCTCTCGACTTGCCAGTCAAAGTATATCATGTACATCCAGGAAAACCCATCGTGGTTCTCACATGGTTGGGTACGGAACCAACTGAACCAGCTATTCTCTTGAACAGTCATATGGATGTAGTGCCTGTCTTTGAGGTAAGTAATATAATTTGCAAACAAATATTATGAGATTACGAAGTTTGTTAATTGACTGTCCTTTTAAATTTGTGAATCAATATGATTATTGAACGATTGTTTACTAATTAAATAAATGCATTTTTTAGGATAAATGGACATATCCACCATTCAGCGCTCATATGGACGAACATGGAAACATCTATGCACGTGGCAGTCAAGATATGAAATGCGTTGGAATACAGTATCTGGAAGCTATAAGACGTATGAAAATGTCTAATTTACGCTTCAAGAGAACTATTCATATATCCTTCGTACCCGATGAAGAAATTGGTGGTAAACTTGGTATGAAGGAGTTCGTTCACACGAATGATTTCAAGGCTTTGAATATTGGTTTTGCACTCGATGAAGGAGTCGCTTCTCCTACCGATACATTCTTCATGTTCAATGGTGAAAGATCTATTTGGCACGTAGAAGTACATTGTACTGGAAATCCAGGACATGGATCCTTGTTATTAGATAATACTGCTGGAGAAAAAATACGAGTTATAATTAATCGATTTATGGATTTAAGAGCATCGGAAAAAGAAAAATTAAAAGACACTGAGAAATATCAAATTGGTGATGTTACGACAATTAATCTGACTCAATTGAAGGTATACAGCAAAGTATTCTATTTCTCATTCATTGTTTGCTCATTTATATTAAAGAAATAATTGAAAAATTATTATTCAGTTGTTAGTAGTATATTCAATATATTTAGAATATTTTATTTGATTTTTAATTATCTAATCAATATTTTTATATTTACATGTCTATTACATTAGGATTTTTACGATTCCTGTAAGTATTTAATGTATGCTGAATATTTGTATTGATTATTTTCTATATTGTTTTACATATATATATGTGGTTTTTGTTTTATTTTCATGTGTCATTTATTTTACATTATGAAACTAATTAAATATGTTTCTTTTTCAGGGTGGAGTACAAACAAACGTTATACCAAACGAATTGATCGCTATGTTCGATGTAAGACTTGATCCATCTGTCGATCACGACGAATTTGAAGCTAAGATCAAGAAATGGTGCGAAGAAACCGGAGAAGGTGTATTTTACACGTTTGAACAAAAAAATCCAAAAGTTGAGAACACCAAATTGGATGACACTAATCCATTTTGGATTGCATTTAAAAGAACATGCGATAGCTTGGATATAAAACTAAAAATAGGTATTTTCCCAGGTGGAACTGACAGTCGTTATGTAAGATCTGTACGTATACAAATTTTGTCAATAAATATTAATAATTGAAAGTACACATTTCTAAAAAGAATATTATAAAGAGAGAGATATATTAAATCGTTTTATTTTTACAGGTCGGTATACCAGCAATTTGTTTCTCGCCAATGAATAATACAAAAATACTTCTTCACGATCATGATGAATATTTAAACAAAGACATATTTTTACGGGGTATACAAATATATATGAAAATAATACCGGCAGTTGCAAATGTTTAAGTGCAATATCAAACAATTAAACGATATAATAAGGTCGCTGAACTACATTCGCTATATATAACAAAAGTGCAATAACAAGTTACCATATATATAATATAGTACAAGTTTATTATTATATTATATATTTTATTATGCGTACGAAAGCAGAAAATAATGTATTCATACATAAAATTAAGAAACATGAGAGATCAATGAAAACACGTAAACAAAAAAAAAAAAAAAAGCAAATAAGGCAAGTAATAATTTTCGCACGAATAGAGAGAAAGAAGAAAATACAAAATAAACGAACGAAGTCAGTCTATTATATCAATGAAATGAAAATAATTACTATATTAATATAAAGCCAAGATCAACCAGAAATAATAATAATTATTATTATATACACACAAATATATTAAAAATGACTACTGCATTTGTTCATCCAAGAAGAAAAAGAAGAAAAAAAGTAGTAGTCAAGCTTAATGTATTGTGAAATAATTAATAATATATAAATGTTAATCTTTATACGGATGAAAAATTGTGAAAATATTACTGGCCATCGTAATTAGTTGATGTTATAACAAGTTGATCGAAAATATACGAAAAGGTATGTTAAAGGAACCGCCTATTGACCTTAGCAGTATCAAAGGATATGCTAAAAAAAATCTGTGTTAAATTGCGCTAAAAGGTTATTACTTCGGATTTATTTGTGCCAGTTTAATTGGATAAAATGATCGGTGATAGTGTCGCGAGTATTCTATGTTGATTTGAAAGTCGATAAATCTATGTGCACGAATGGTGTATTCCCGCCATTGTCGTACGTAGTGGGTTCATTGTCGACCATATGCCGACCATCCCTTTCCAACAAAGTAATAGACTCGTCCGTCTTCTTCAACTTCGTTTTGATTATTTTATCGGCCGTATTGATGAAAATTGTGAATGATATTTCGTGTGATGGTGTTGAAAAATAATAACTACCACGATAGTTTGTCAAAATAACAAAATAATAAGCCGATCGGGAGTAAGAAGAATTTTTTTTCTTAGTGTATGGGTTCGGCCATTTTCCTGCAGAGGGGGATGGTGGGGTAAAGTGTGAGAAAAACATGCGGCCACTTCTTTCATTCGTGTCGATCGTTCGAATTATTTCACGAGCGAAATTGAACGAAAAATTCAAAATAATTGCTAGTACAAACGTACGAGGTCGAAAAAGTATCTAAAAGGTCATAAGAAAGTGTAGAAAAGATATCTCAAATAAATTCCTTTGTCAGCCATGTGCAAATGGTGTAGCATTTAAAAGATCCTCGGCGAACGAAGCGCACCGACCAATGAGCGCGGTCTCGGCTCGGTCACGTGACTTCGGCCGACCAATAAGCGGGACGAGATTTGAAATCGTGCGTGGTCTTTGTTCACGAGCCTACCGTCAACGTTACTTCAGTTCCGTAAAGGGGGCCTTGTGTCGGTGTCATTTTATACATGGTCGCTGCCGAAAATCTCATTATTTCCAAGTAAAATATATGTGTGAAAGTGGTGTTACGCTGAGTGGACGAGATACTTCAAAGACTGTCGATTATACGGTAAGTTAGGATTACTCTAATCTTCTCGTCGAAAGCAGGAGATAATAAAGAAACTAATTTTATGTGGCCGGCCCGCCACTGTCGTCGCCGCCACCACCGTCGTCACCGTTGCCGCCGTCTCGTACATCGATGTTTTTAGTTATTGTATTTGTCGTGTTCATTGTCGCCTTCTTCTAGTCTTTTTTCTTTGTCCAAGAAGTGTTGTGTGGAAATATTTTCTATTAGTGTTGCGAGTGCACGATATTGCAGGATAAAAGGGTCCGCCTTTTATTTTTATTACAGAAAAAAAAAGAAAAGAAAAGAAAAAACATATCCTGTTTATATTCGATCACGTTGATGATGATGTAGGTAGCACAGAAATCTAAACAAAATCATTTTCTATCCGTTCGCGTAAACGTTTCTTCTTAACGGTATAAAATAGACAATCTTCAGCAGCTCAATTTTTTCAACATTTAATCGATTAATTTTATTTTATCAATTTTATTTCAGTTACAATTCCTTCTCCAGTTAGTGAGAATGAGTATAAAAAGGGAAACACAATCCGTATTATACAATTCGTATATTATTCTTAAATTATACTCCTTTCTTCCTTATTTCCTCCATCCACCCCCCCATTTTTTATCTGTCTCTCCCCCCCCCCCGCCTCCCGCCCCCGTTAAAGTAAATATTCTGGAATAAGCGCGGGCATTTTTTGCCGCGCTCGACGAATTCATTCTGCCGTGCCTTTCTTTAGCTACATTCATTGTTATGGCAACCGTTTTATTTACCGTAAACGTAGCGCGACCGAGCAACTGAGAATAAACAATCGTATCGGTCGTGTCTCCACACCCCCCCCCCCCTCCTCCCGCCGCCCTTCACCACCCTCTCGTCCGCAACCAACACACATCACACATACCACACATATCCGACTGCCATATCATCATCAGCACATATCACGTATATGTGTAGTAAGTACGTGTACGATCGTACAAACCTGAATGAGTGATTCACCGCAGTGTGTAGGAGCGTAAAATTGAGCGGGAAGATGTTGGAGAGAAAATATCCGTCTCGTCTCCTTCGTCTTTCTCGAAAATGCGAATGTTTGTTTGTTGATCATCATCATCATCATCATCATCATAATATCTTCTTCTCTTTTTCTTACTTTTCGGTCGCGTTCTTCTTCAATGGTTTAGAACAATGAACGTACTACGAGATGTATCATTCTTTTTTTCTTCTCTCATTTTAATATCATTTGCGATTATTATTGATTATATTTATCGAACTATATGTGTTTTGAGTTAATAATAACGAACAATCGATAACTTAAAAGAAACTCTTCCCCCCCCCTTCCTTCCAAAAAGAAAAGAAAAGAAAACCGAAAACGAATCGTTTGTTTAGATATATTTTAAGAAAAATATTGTTTCCACTATTTGTGTTTCTTTTCTATTCGTTAAACGTGGATATTTTTTTTTATATTAATTTTTGTTAAAAAGATGTATATATGAGAAACAAAAGAAAAAAATCATTGCTCTCTTCGCAGAGGAGAAAGAAGTAGTAGTATTTGTGAAAAGAGAGTAGTTGAAAGGAACAAAAATAAAATACCATTCGTAATTATTACGAATTACAAAGGAAGTTTCTTCTCCTCCTCGTTCCATCGATTAAAACAAAAGGCTGGAGTTATAGTAGCAGTAGTAGTCGTCCAGACTGCTTTGGAGAAGAAGAAGAAGAGGAAGAGAAGAAGAAGAAAAAGAAGAGAAGAGAAGAGAGGAGAAGGAGTGAAGAGAAGAGAGGAGAGGAGAAGAGAGGAGAGGAAAAAGGAAAGAGAGAGAGTGAGGGCTCGTCGTCTCGCGCGCAAATAGATTCATTTTATGCGAGGCAAAGCTTATCGAGCGATCTACTTTACCGTTTCCACACAACCAGATATTTAATAATACAATAATCTTCTTTTTCCCCTTCTTCAAAAATATAGTAGTGTTAGGTAATGGTATAAACTTCTTACTAACAACTAACAATACAACAATATTTAATAATACAATAATCTTCTTCTTCATCTTCAAAAATATAGTAC